GAAACCAAAACCCACCTTCATCATCTTCAACTCCTTCTCCCCCTTACTCATCAGCTCCCGTATCCGTCCCTCGTCAGCAACATTCTTGTTCTCCCTAAACGCATCTCTCGTCCGGCGCTTTGCGTAATCGCGGAAGTTGTAGGCGGCGAACTGGCGGGCGGCGCGGTTGAGAGCGCGGTACTGCGGGGAAGATCGTTAGTAGGATTCCGTGTTCGCACATTTGGGATTTCTGTTTGCTAGGTAGTGGAGACGGCGGTATAATGGAGCGATGCGATACTGCTGGGTTGCGATGGTGGCGGTGGAGGGGAGGGGAGCGGCGGACGTACGAGGGAGCGGACTTGGTATGCCATATCGCCGTGTGCTGCTGTCATTGCGCGGTGGGTAGGTGCCGTTAGGGATGTGTTTTCATGGGTGTTCTGGCGGCGTATGGGTTTACAGAGTCGATGTCATCGCCCAAATATTTTAGCCGCGGAGCTTTCGCCGCAAGCGCCGATCTACCAACGATGGAGCATGCAGGGCTGAGGTTTTGAGCCTCACCCTTGCACGTGTCTTCTCGAAAGATGCATCTTTGGCAAACAGTAGAGCGATTGCGTTTTGATACAGCGCTAATCCATGTTGCTGAACTTCTACCCTACGCCAACACGTCCCTTCTCCTACTCATACAAATGAAACCCCACTGACATCACTCGCCCTATAAACCCCTTTCCCTCCCTCACTCCGTCGCACTCTGACCCTCACTCCCCGGTCTCGCACTCTCAACCCTCTCCTCCACCAATCTCTCTTTCGCAACATCCTCCCCCACCTCCACCGTGGGCGGCGCCTCATTCGCCTGCGCTTCCGGCACCCCCGCCGTCTCGGGATTAACGTCTGGATGCACCGGCGCGACCTCCTCAGGCACATTATTCTCAATCTCATTCCCATACGCATCGACAACCCGTGTGCGGGTCTCATATCTGGTCTTAAAGCTGACCTGGCCCTCGAGTGCGGCGACTTGCTCTTCGTTCAGGAGGTTGCCTTCTTCGTCTCTGTACTCAATCTTCTCTTCGCGGGCGATGACTTGCTGGTCGGCTATCGCTTGCGGCGTCACGGCTTCTTTGTGGGCGCCGGAGTCGGTGTGGATGTGCGGTACCGCTGGTGCGGGGGAGGATGGCGCGGCGGCAGAGAGGGCGGATGGGAATTTGGAGTATTGGTCGTACTAGACCGAGTCAGCGGAGGTGTCTTCGTCTTCGACAGCAGCAGGAGGAAGTGCGGGCCGGCCGCGGTGCGGCGGCTGCCATTTCGGAACTGCGGGACTCACCGATGTGTGGAAGGTGTTGCAGTCCCAATCCCAGGTGGTGAAAAGCTTAACTTTTCTGCACTGGTCTTGGGTCCAGGTATTGCCGTACGCGAGAGGAGCATAGAGGGTGAATGCCACGATACTGAGTGCCAAGAAAGCGACAGCGCCGGTTCGACCGATTGCAGGGTGTTGTTTGAAGCCTAGGCCAGCAAAGCGGTTGGTGAGGAAATCGTGGGTCTGGCACAAGCCGATGATGGCGAAGTATAGCGCAGGGAAGTAATGATGGAGGAAGAGCTGGCGCTGCATGAGGTAGAAGGGGAAGTAGTGGAAAGCCCAGCCCAGGATCGATGTGCCAATTTCGTAGTCGAAGCGCTTGAAGGTTACGTTGCTGTAGTCGTTGTAGCCGCGCTGCCAGCGAAGGACTGCGAGGCCTTTGACGACAAGATACACGGCAATAGCGGCGGTAGAGGACCACCAAATGACTGGATTGCCGATAAGGTAGATCTGACGGTGGTCTTTGCCCCAGAAGTTGATGCCACGGCGCAAGATTGGCCAGGACGGTGGTCGAGAGTCCCAAGCGTGCGACTCAACAAGGCCGGCGTTGGTACGCCACATAACCTTCTGTAGCTCCCAGAACTTGCCAAAGAAGCCGGGGTTGCGGTAGTTGACCTTCTCTGCGTCTTCTTTAAGCATTGGATGCTCGTTCGACTCGATGTACCAGACACTGTTGGGGAGAGTGCCGCCCTTGGCGCAAGTGACCTCCTGTTGCTCGAAGGCCCAGTCCGGTAGCTTAACCTTGTGTGAAAAGAGCACGCAGCCAGTCATGATGTGGACGAGCTTGAACTTGGTTTGGATGGTGCGGACATGACTCTTCGCCTTTGCACCCTCGGACATAGATTTGATGATCTCAACCCTGAACAAATCATTCGCATCGCCTTCAAACCCTTCGTAGCCGTAAGCCGATACCTCATTCTGCCAGTCGGCCTCCGTGACTGGAGGACGGACGTCGTGGGAGTGCAGTCTGCGATCGGTTGTGACATGATAGAGCTTGATAACGGAGCCGTCTTCAAGCAAGGTTGGTTCCAGGTTATCCCAGGCTTTCGGACCTACAATCGGACCATCAAGGCCTTCCGGCTGCGTTTGGTTCTCCACCAACCAGATGTTATTCTCGTCTTTGTGCGGGTACAAAGTGATCTGCTGCTGTTTGCTTCCACCGGGATACATGTGGCTATGAGAGTGTAGGTAGCCTCCTTGGGTGTTGTGGTGGCGGAGGCTGATGCGACTGCCGAATGCCACATCTGCTGGGACGTCCTGCATCCCTTTCGAGTTGAGCGTCGCTTGGAACTCGGACGACATGAAGCCGTCGCCATCACCGGGATTGACGAGGCAGAGGAAGTGGATGGCGAACATGGCCATGTAGAAGGTTATTGGGATGATGATCAGGCAGAACACGCGTGCGAGGAGGTGCTTGAACCATATTCTCTGGCACTAGGTTAGTAATAGCGACTCTCCTCTACATCTCTCATGCTCACCGGAGTGACAGTCCTTGTGTCTCCCAGTAGGACCCAGAGCTGCAGCGCAGTCAAGCTGCCCACCCACGCGATTGTGAAGAGTCCAACCCACTTAACGCTGGCCGTAGCACCCAAAGAGAAGCCAGTAGCTGCCAGCCAGAACCACCAACTTGGTTTGAAGGCCTTGGTCGGGCCCTGTTCATGCTGATTTGTGAAGCAAGTCCAAGAAAGAGCCGTCAAGGCAGTGAAGATAATGAGCGGCGAATCGAGGAGGATGAGACGAGACTGCGTAAGGAGGCCATTCTCTGCGTCTCGTTAGCGGCTTCCCGTTGAGGCGCTGGGTTGGAGCTACTGACCGAAGATGAGGAGGCCGGCTCCCAGCGCAGCAGTTGTCGTTCGGCAACCCGCAGCCTTGAGTGTCAAGAACATGGTGGGAATGGTCATGACGCCCATGAGGGCCGGCAACAATCGCATGGCGACGTACGGCACACCCGGCTCCACGTAGTCCTTCCCAATGTCCTTGAAATCGAAGTCTCCATCGAATCCAGCCAGCCATCCAGCGAGTGTAATGAGCAGTTTGGCGAGCGGAGGGTGTACGTCCATGAAGAATTTGCCCTTGATGTACTTGGACGCAAAGCCACCGAAGCTAAACAGAGGTGCGTTAGCATGTGGACACTGTTCGACTGATCCGACCCAGCTTACTGGACTTCATCGAAGACGACACTGCTGGGCTGGTATATCCTGAATAGCCGCACGACGAATGCCACCAATGTCAACAGGCCCAGCAACTGCCAGTCAGAGCCTGGCAGCTGGAAGATGTCATGATCGCTGACGCCTTGAGAGGCATAGCTTGGGGTCTTTTTCGGCGCGCTCTTTTTGTTCTTCGGATTGGGTGTTCGGCTTGGTGATGTGCTGGGCTGCCTCGGGGGCTTCTCGTCCAGGTACGGAGGCTTAGCCTCGTTTCGTGCCATGCTGGCGGTTGGTGAGGCAATTGGGATGTTCGTAGTGTAGATATCTTAGGAGCTCGTGCAGTAAATGGACATAGCTCTGGACAGCTTCAGTGGAGGCTGGTCGATCAAGCTTCTAGACAGAAGCTACACAAGCGCAGCAGAAGGTTGCCAGAAGTCAGTTAAGGAGAGACAAGAAAGGTAGGCGGCTGAAGACGCAGTCGTGGTGGAACTCTCAGCTGCAGGAACCCCTTGGCCTGTCTTGATTCGTGTTCACTTTACAGCGCAGGAGCAAGCTGTCAACGGCTGTCAACGGCTGTCAACCGGAGTCTGCAACTCGATGATAAACAGACTCGTACGTTCTTGGAGACGAGGGTCAGAAATCTGGAAGGTCTTTTCAAGCACAAATCGCATCGGCAGCAACACCGAATGTTCAGACATCAGATTGTGCCTGAGTTTCGAGGCGCCCAAGCCTCAGCGGAGCGGGAGAGCGGGACAGCGGGACAGCGTTCGCCAAGGCCCGGCGCGGAAACCTGGTCCTGGCAGTTTCACGCGCACCTGCAACCTTAAGGTACTCTTACCCCGTACTGCCTCTCCAGTCACGACAGAACTTCCATCCAAGCCGCCGCTGCGCTTCCACACCCACTCTCTAAACCACCATGGCGCCCGCAGCTATCATTGACACACCCATGACCTCCCTCGATGAAGCCCACAGGCCTCCGCCAAACGTCGTCCTCCCGCCCAAGGACATCCGCTCCATCGTAGAGAAGACTGCCGGCTACGTCGCCCGCAACGGTCCTGCTTTCGAGGAGCGGATCCGGGCCAAAGAACAGTCAAACCCCAAGTTCTGCTTTCTGAATCCCAGCGATGCCTACTCACCCTTCTACCTGTGGCGCCTGTCCGAGATTCGAGAGGGACGTGGGACTGCTGTGTCGGCTGGAAGGGCAGAGGAGGCGGCGAGGGAGGAAGAGCAGCCACAAGGCCCAGAGGAGCCGCCAGAGTTCCATTTCAGCGCGCGGATGCCGATGATGAATGCTCAGGATCTCGAGGTGGTAAAGCTGACGGCGCTGTTCGTGGCGAAGAACGGACGGAGCTTCATGACGGCCTTGTCGCAGAGGGAGACGGGGAACTACCAGTTCGACTTCCTTCGGCCGCAACACAGCATGTACCAGTTTTTCAGCCGGTTGGTGGACCAGTACACTGAGCTCATAAACGGTGGCTCGATAGATGGAGGCAGGCCGGAGAGAGAGCGGCTAGCACAGCTCGAGCGTAACGTTCACGACCGATTCCATATGCTCGAACGGGCCAGGCGGCGCGCAGAGTGGGTAAAACACCAAGAGCAGCAGAAAGCCAAGCATGAAGAGGAGGCCGAAGCCGAGAAGATTGCATACGCCCAGGTTGACTGGCATGACTTCGTCGTCGTCGAGACGGTTGTTTTCAACGAAGCCGATGACCAGACCGACCTTCCTCCGCCCACCTCGCTGAACGACCTACAGTCCGCCTCTCTGGAGCAGAAAGCCATGATGTCCCTGCAACCTCACAACATGCGCATCGAAGAAGCCATGCCGACAGACGAACCTTCCTACTACGACCAAGTACCCCAACCCGTACAGATGCCTGCACCACAGACGGCCTACGCACCGCCGCCGATACATCCGTCACGCATGGACTACGTTATGCATCAATCCGCCCAAGACGACGAAGAAGAGCGTCTTATCCGCGAGCGGACCGAGGCAAGAGAAAGGGCGCAGCAAGCACAAGCAGCGGCGAAGGGCGGGACAGGCCCGATGCGCATCAGGAACGACTACGTGCCAAGAGCGCAGGCGAAGAGGCAGAACGTGTCTATGGCGCTGTGTCCGAACTGCAACCAGCAGGTTCCATATGATGAGTTGGAGCAGCATATGAAGGGTACGTCTTTGTCAGCCTTTACATTCTTCCCTTTCCTATGAACTGCTTTCTCCCATCTACCTAACTTTGAGCGTTTCTCGCGAAATCGGGCTTGGACACTTGCTGACGTAATCACAGTCGAACTCCTCGATCCCGAATGGCGCAAACAAAAGGCCAAGTCCGATGCCCGCTACGCCACAACCAACCTGTCGACCGCCGACGTGGCAAACAACCTGAAGCGGCTGGCGTCGCAGCGCAGCGACGTGTTTGATGGTGTGACCGGGCTGCCAGTGAGTGAGGAAGAGGCGGCAAGGAGGAAGAAGGCAGCGACAAGCTACGATGGCAACCCGCAGCCAGCGGATACCCACAGGATGCAGAGCTTGAACATAGAGGAGCAGATTAGGCAGATCAAGGAGAAGTACGGCGGCCAGTGATGAAAGTTGTGGGGTACGAGCCAGATCCTTTTGTCGGGCGATCGATCGGTAGAGCGCAACAGGCATCGGCGCATCTGGATGGCCAGTTGAACAGCAGCACAAACTAGGTACGACGTTGCGTTGGCTCGCTTCACGGTTGCTGGACAGGCACTGACGTAGAGAAAGGCGTTGGACCTGTACCAAAGAATCAGAATACCCCTCTATTCACTGCTCAAAACCTGAGGACTGCAGTTGCATTCTCTTAGTCACCCGTATAGACCTCGTATTATTAAGGATATACGTACTTCTGTGTAGCAAATATCGAGTCATTGTGCGTCGGCGGAGCGGCCTTTAATCATGCCTTCACCTGAACGACAGCGGTATCTGTCTACCACGGCCACCAGTTGTGAACAGCCACGATGCTACTGGCCTCGACCAGTGCCGCATGCTACCGATTCACTCACCACTCTCTGACGAGGCCCGCCCGGGAGCCTCTTGACAGCTTGCAACAACGTGGGCAACTCACTTCAAGCGCGTCACATGTCTACTCATTCAGCTCCAGAGGGCACGGCTTCTCGCTCTCCCACTGGCCCTTATAAGCCAGCTCGTTTGCAACCCCCAGCCCGATATCTTCTCCTTCCATCAACAGGCATTCTCAACCTCAACAGTCTTCGATCAAAAGCCTACCAAACATTAACCAACCAAACACATAATCCTCAACCTCCTCTACCTCAGACTAACCAGCTACCAACACCCAACATCCAACATCTAACATCCAACATCTAACATCCAACATCCATCTCACCGCCCATCCACAGACCCTCTCAACATCCAAGCCATGCCCGGCCCCGCGAAAACGAAATACTCCGGAAACGGCTCCTGGGACCAGAACTGGACGTCGGCAATGGAAAGCATGGTCCGCCGAGGTCACGATGAGGGCAAGGACATCCACGAAATCACGGATGACTTGCATGGCGCGTACGGGCTTGCTCGCTGGGAAAGCGTGCGCGACAAGATGAAGGAGCTGTGGCCGGGGGAGGCTGTCAAGGGGGCCTGAGGGGGTGTGGTGAGGCGTTCTGTAAGATAGGTGGAGATGGGGTGTGGATACGGCTGATGGGCGTTAATGGGTGTTTGTGTGATGGGGGAGCATACTTGCGGATGTAGCGGCTGAAATGAATGTGCTTTGATCTGCTTTTATTCTGTGACTTCTGTCGATCGTGACTCTTATGGGCCCTCAAAGCTGCCATAATGAACTATCACGCAGCTAAACCAACTCCTATATTTCGGCTTACGAGTGTGATCATAATACTTTGAGCTACTGCTCTCTGTTGTGGACGTAAGCGAAACTTGGCAGGCACGCATTTTACGCTGTCGAAGGCGGTAAACAGCACTGGCTGCACAAAGGAGCAACAACGAGAACGCGATAATATGTCTCGGGTTCGACAAACGAACCCTGGAGCAGTATATCTGAAATGTTGGAACAACCCAACTGCAGTAAAAGCCCAAAGAAAGGGTTATATACACCTCTGCTATAATACCAAAAGCGTCCTCTTGCTAACTTCCGCAAACTTTGCCCTTTCATAGCCAAATTTAATATCCCTCCTTGCCGTACTTGTTGTACTTCTCGTGCAGCTCCTTCGGCAGGTTGACGTTCGGGATGATGACGGTGTTGAGCGCTGAGGGAGCCTCCTTCTTCGGCTGGTTGGCATCGCCGCCGGGGTGGTACTCGTACTTGCCGGACCCGCCAGTTTTCCAGGGCTCAGAGCCGACAACCTTGGCCACGGGATTCTCGGAGGAGGAGCTGGTTGGCGAGCGGGCTATGGACACGGGTGAGCGTGCAGTCAGAAGCGAAGAGCGTGCATACGGCGTCTGCGAGCTCGACGGTAACTTGAACAACGGAAGGCTTACAGAAATGCCAGCCAACTAGCGCAAAGGCGCCAGACATGATGGTGAAGAGGACCTGCATGCAACAGTCGCATCAGCCGATGGGCAGTCCAAGACATGTCGGTGGTGCTTGGGAGTGCGGTTGCCGTACGATGAGCTCAGGGTCTTTCTTTCCGGCAGACTTCAGCACTTTCTGGCCAGCCTCTTGCTTTTCTCTGGCACCGGCACCAGCAGTTGGGCCGGCGGCGCGGAGCGAGCGCGTTGCGCGGAAGGCAGAGCGGCCGATGATTGACGACATGGTGAGGGGGGTCGAGGGGTGTCGAGGGGTGTCGAGGGGTGTCAAGACGGCGCTGTTGTAGCTTTTCTTCTTCCTTTGGCGGGTTGAAGGGTGGAACTGGTGTTGTCGTCGTACGATGGAGGGTCTGAGGGTCTGAGGGTCGGATAAAGCGTTTATGCGAGCGGTGACGGGCGGGCTTGCGTCGACGGCAGCTTGGCAGTGACGGGATGCCCCTGACGCTTAGCAGTTGGGTACTGTAGGTAAGGTAAGTGGGTAAGTAAGGTAATCACTCCAACCGGCGACTACACCAAAGCTCCCCCCCTCCTGCTTTCTGGAAATACTCGAGTAGTTGCTGTGTACGGAGATGCAAGTGTCGTTCCTGCATCCATCTACAGCCTGATGTTTGCTTGCGTCTAGTGCCTTGACTCTCTGCGCTCCTTCTCGTCCGTCCGTTCCACTGCGCCGTCCGCATCGGCCTTCCGCAGACCAACCGCATACACTCGATTACCCAAACAGTCGCCCCGTCTCGAAGCCCGCATGCTGAGGCCATGCCTCTGTTAGACACCACCGCCCACAGCCCTTCCGCGATTCTGAAGGTGGCCCAAACGACATGACAACGCAAGCGCTACCCGAATCCTGGCAGGAGCCCCAGGGCCAGCTCGATGTGGTCTCCGAGCATCCCGCGCCCAGCATAATATCTAGTCGTATGACCGACATAGCCTCAGAGGACGGAGATGCGACAAGCATGGCGCAGACAAGGCCCGCCGCTAGCACACGACGATCAAGTGGCCGAGTCCCCGGCGTCACAGGTCCCGTAGGAGAACCAGCTCTTCCGCCCTCTCGTCCGTCCTCCATTGGCACTGCCCAGTCGTCGAACCGGAGATCACTGACATCGCAGACTCCATCCCAACGCCGGAGAGCAGGCTTGGGTGTTGGTGTTGGCCCGCCCAGCGTTGCAGGCAGCAGCGGCGCCGGCAGCGCTCGTGCCCCAAGTGTGGCAAGCCGTACACACGTCCCCTCCCTCACCTCGCACGCCTTCTTCCGGCCGATGAGCTCGCAAAGACTGCAGGCGCAACGAGGACAGCGGCCCAGTTCGCTCACGACACAGCGCTCGCTGCAGGCTAGCGTTGATGGACAGAGCGATCACGGAAGCATCATGAACCGGCAGAGCAATGGGTCAGCCATTCCCCTGAAGGAGGCACTGGCAGCAGGACCTGATGTCGACGGACCACCTCCCTTATCACGCGGCACAGACGTTACAGACAGAGACTGGGCCACTGCGAACACCTCACCAACCGGAGCGGGAACGGTGCGGAGTGGCGGAGAGAGCACGGCGCCATTACACAACGGTGTGAATGAATTACAGCGCCTCGACCTCTCGACAACCTACAAGGGCGTACCCGGCGCTCTACCAAATCCCGGGCAGAAATCGCCCCGCTCATTCCGCTCAAGTTTCATCCTGCCCAGCCGGGGCAGCCGCACCTCCGTTCAGGTGCAGATGCGAGGCACCGGCCACGAAAAGCTCGCTTCCACAGACTCCTCTCCTCGTATACACGCACAAGGCCCGTCCGACTCCGAAGCAGCAAGGCTGGAGACAAAAGAGGCCGTGAAACGAGAGCTGGGGAAGAACTACGAATACTTTACCGGCAACACCGTCTTTTGCTGGGGCGGGAGACTGCAGAATACCCGCGATAGACCTGTAAATATTGTTACTGGACTTCTTGTTGTAATACCGACGGCGCTTTTTCTTGGATTTTCGTGAGTCACCCTATCCTTCCGGGAAAGATGCAAGACTCCAAGCGCACCGGCCATGAACATGGTGAGCAGATGCTAATCATATCTTGCAGAGGGCCATGGCTATGGCTCAACGTTTCACCCGCGATACCCGTTCTATTTGCGTACCTCTTTCTAATCTGTATATCATCTTTTCTTCATGCTTCCGTTACAGATCCAGGGGTAAGTTCCCTCCCTCCCCCACCACCCCAGCTCCCCTTCCCATCACCCTCTCCAACCAGCATAACCAGCACTAATAACCTTACAGATCCTCCCCCGAAACCTCCACCCCTTCCCCCCCACCCCTCCTACAACGGACCCCCTCGCCCTCGGCCCCCCCACCACATCCTGGACGACCGTCCTCTCCCCTTCCTCCACAACCGCCGCAATGGAAGTCCCCACCAAATATTGCAAATCCTGCAACATCTGGCGCCCGCCCCGCGCCCACCACTGCCGCATCTGCGACTCCTGCATCGAGACCCAGGATCACCACTGCGTATGGCTTAACAATTGTGTTGGGAGAAGGAACTACCGCTACTTCTTCGTCTTCGTATCGAGCGGCACTATGTTGGGTGCCTTCCTATTGGGCGCTAGCCTTGCCCACCTCCTCGTCTGGCGCGCCGGAGCCCCAGGCCGCAGCTTCGGCGACGCGATACAAGCGTGGCGTGTCCCCTTCGCGATGCTCATCTACGGCGCCCTCGTGACGCCGTACCCGGCCTCCCTATGGGGCTATCACATCTTTCTGATCTGTCGAGGAGAAACGACTCGCGAATATCTGAACTCGCATAAATTCATCAAACGAGATCGGCATCGCCCATTCACGCAGGGGAGCTGGTGGCGCAACATGATTGCCGTGTTGGTTAGGCCGAGGGGCCCGACGTATCTGCGGTTCAGGCAACGGTACGAGGAGGGGGATCAGCGATTTGGGGAACGCAGGGGACGGAGGACGGCGCCGTTGGCGGAGGCGCAGAAGGGTGGGGGGAACGGAGTCGAGATGCAAGATGTGGGGAAGGGTGGGCAGGGTTTGGGGTTTCAGGGGCCGGTCGGCAGGGGCCCGATTAATAGCACGCCGAGGGTGGATGGGGTGGGTGCGAGGTAAGGGTATATGTAGTTTGGTGAGCGAGAGGAGATTGCGGGTGCTGTGCTTTGGGTGAGTGGGGGTCGCGTGTATATACATTATTTTCACTGTCAGGTGTTGTTTCAGTGGTATGGGGGGTTTGTATAGAGGCTTGTACCGCAACCCACCTTCTAGAGATGGACGTGGCCGTCAGTCAAACTCACTAGAATGGGTGGGAGAGTCGGACCAACATCATCGGTTCGGCACTTGGAATGCACCCTTGATTTTAGAACCACCTTGATTCCCTTGATATTTTACTCACAACAGTCAGGCTATGTACCTAAACACCACCTCTACGTATGTTGCTCTAGCCACCGAGCCCGTCTATAGCGAGCTACACTAGACATGCCCAACCCCTGCCCCTTGCGCCCCTGTACAACATGAAGCTACTCATGCCTCAAAAGGCGAGGACGCAAAGGACTTCGGGTTCTATGCGCGTCACCCACCCATAGTATTATCAAAACCATATCAGTCTCCATTGTCCCATTCGGACTGCTCTACAGCCCACTGTACTGCATCGTAGACGTCTTCTACAATGACTCGAGGCTTCCAAGTCGGCTCCTGGCCTTCCTGGTATACGCCAGTCTTCACTAAAATTGAACACCAGTCCGTGCCGTGAGGGCTCTGATATGTGTTGCCGCCCCTGATATCCGATTCTGCAGCACATGGTCAGCCATGTTGTTGCTCAGAAAATAGAGGCAAGGAACTGTAGTCTTAATGATAACTTACCCGGGTTATCCCCAACCATATAAACTCTCCTCAACGGCTCCAGCCTCCCCTCCCCCACCACCTCCCTAAAAATCTCCTCCCGACACCCCACAAGCTTCTTCTCCGCGAACTCAAAAGTCTCGCGGAACGGCTTCCCGATAACCGTCTTCATGAGCCTGACCCCCATCCTCTCCCCCCCCGTAACAGCCGCCCACAGCCCCTCCAACGCCTCCCTAAACCCGCCCTGTCCCAGCCGCGGCAGATGATATTTCGCCGCCCACCACAAGTCCGGGTTCGAGAAATACAGCGGCGGCTGAGCATCTTGCTGGTAGCCGCGGTTCGGGAAAGAGGGGGTGTTGTTGGAGGCGGAGAGGGTGCCGAGGATACCGCGCGAGGAGAGCAGCAGGTCGAGGATTAGCGTCGCGTCGAGACCCCAGTCGCGCGGGTCGTTGTAGATGAAGATTGCGTCGATTTTGAGGGAGGAGGAGGGATCGGTGGGGTGGATGGGCCTGGGAAGGGGGCGCGCGAAGGGTTTGTACAGGGACGTTAGATGCGCTGAGAAGGGCCAGACTTCGGGGTGCTGGACGAGGATGTCGCCGGGGGTGACGACGGATCTGTAGCCGTATCTAGGGGTGATGTGGTCAGCGTCTGTAAAATGGTTTGGCTGATCTTCTTAACCAGTGATAAGAGGCTAGGCATACTTCTCGGCAACAACTCTGCACTTGTCCCCCTCGCCTCCACAGACTAGCACCGTCTTGTTCTTGTACTGATCCATGTCCGCGAAAGGCGTATGGCTCTGTACAAACATGCTGGTGTCAAGCGACACGCCCAGGCTTTCGCTCAAGTCGGCCACGCGCTCAGACTCATGCTTGCCGCCGCCATTCGTGAGGAGGATAGACGGTATACGCTGCTGCTGGAGATAGGATAGTGCTTTCCGTGCGCGCGGTAGAGGGTCGTGAGAGCGGAGGAGGACGCCATCGATGCTGGGGCTTCTTAGCAGTGTATTGGAAAGCGAATGGTCACAGGCTGTATATACCTACTCGAATGCGAAAGCAAAGTCTGGTATTCGCTGTGGGGGTGGAGCGGAGGTCTGGAGACATCGGTGATAGGGTAGAGTGGCTGCTTTGCAAGCAATTGAAGCTCTCGCACGACTACATCTGGGTATGGCGCGAAGAGTTTGCCTGGAGGAACTGACAAAGGGAGATATACTGGTCATTGTTGGCATGACGAACAAAGGCGGCCAATACATGAATTGAGCCTGCGATAGAGAGCCGCGAGTCATGCGCGCGGAACACGTGATTAAAGCCAACCCCGGTATTGATTGTTCATGCTTTCCAGGTACTTTAGTTCTGGTCTGCTTCCACTGTATGGGGAGAATCATTAGTCAGAAAGACCAGTCATTCAGCTGCTTGTGATCATGATTCATTGACCATGCTGCGCCTATTGCGCTATCCAAGTGTGTACACCTTGTCTGCAAACCCAAGTCCTGAAACACCGTGCCCATGTCAAGTCGACCATGTGCCCAGCAATGGCCAGCCTTTTTTCTATCTAGTCACAATAAGCAGGCTGGATCTGCCGCCAACCAATCATTCCTCGTCCCAGACCACAGTGGTGGGCTGCTCGCCAACCGCGTTAGCTGCAACAGGCCACTGGATGTAGCCGGTGGTCACGTTCCGCTCATGAATGACAACCCTGTTGCTAAGCTGCAGAGCCACAGCTATGAGATCTCCAGCCTTGTTGAAGGAGAAGTGGCGCGGATGGAGGCCACCAGCAGGCCAGATCTGAGTGAACAAGAGCGTACCGTCCCCCTGAGGGATGAAGTTTGCCAGGGAGTCTGATGGTTCTGCCGTTGAGTTGTTAGGGTCGAAGTTGGGAATCTTGAAAGTGCGATCCAGGCGGTTCGAGACGATCAGGAATCTGTTATCGGGCTATAAGTTATGTTAGCATGTTACTGAAAGGGTCGGGGAAGGGAAGAAACGAGAGTACTCACCGAAATAGAGATCTCAGCCGCCGCAGCGCCTGTTGGAACAGGTGCACCTCCAAAGGTGTTGGTGGAAGAAACTGGGGTGAAATGGATTCCGCCAGCGGCTGGGTAGCTCACTCTGAAGCCATTAATCGTGTTCAAGAGCTCTCCGACGACGTAGAAGTAGAGAGTAGAGTTTGTGCCGTAACCGTTAGAAACAGCTCCATCCGGCGACCAGAAAGTCGCATGCCTTGGTCCAGAGCCTGGGGGCATCTGAATCGCAGGCTGCTCTTGGAGCAGATTAGTTGACGGGTCGATGTGGAGAATGCGAACAAGATCGGAGCCGAGATCCGGGACGAGGATGAATTGGCCGGTTGGATCAAGAACTACTTGATGCTGATATGCGCCAGTCTGCCGATCTGGGTTCACACCTGGCCCGGGGAGCGTGAAGGTGAAGTTCTGAAGCGGTACGAAGCTGCCATTCGCAGCGATGGAAAAGGTGGACACGGCCTGGCCGGCATAATGCGACAGAGCGATGGCACGAGAGCTGTTGCTGCCGTACAAGACGCTGCTGACAGGGCCAGTGATGGTCTCGCGATCGCTGAGCACGGTCAACTCTCCGCTTGCGGATGTCCTGAAGGCAGTGATCGAGCCGTTTGGCGTTTGATTGCCTTCATCGAGGCAGTAGAGCACGTCATTCGCGGCATCGAGCGTCAGCCAGGCGGGGCTTCCAGCGCAGCCCGGATTGGTGTAGGTGATTTCGCTTTCGTAGCCGCCATCAGCGGTAGTCGAGAGGCTCAAGGTTGTAACGTTGCCATCATATGAGGCTACGTAGAGATTGCAGGCGGCGGCAGTGGCCGCCAGAAGCGTACTGAGGTAAGTGGTGGACAGCATGTTCAAGACCAGCCTGAATGCAATGAATGTCGGGGGATTTATGCTTGACGTCTTTCGTGGATGGTACTGTTTAAATGAGAAGAAGTTGGAAATAGCGAGAGGCTTGGGGAAGGTTGAGGACTGGGGAAAGGTTTATGGCGCGAGCGAGTTGCCTTGGTCACAACACTTCCTTTGAGTCAGGAGACTCGAGACTGTGAGCGAACAATGAATTGTGCGAAGGGGCGGTGTCTTAAAGAGATCCTTTGTGAAGTGAGCCGGCTCAGACGATGAATCACAAACATGCAAGCCCAAATTAACCAACCCCCGCACGGCTCTCCTCGGACACGTCAAAGGCTCAGCGGAGGGGCTAAGCTCAAGCTAACGACAGGTACAGTGCATGTCTCTGCTCAGCCCGCTCCTTCACGCTGCAAGCCTGGCGGCTATGTATTGGAGGGCTGGGGGCGGAGAATTGATCTTTTTGGAGGACCAGGTCCCTGGGCGCACAAGGCTGAGATCCCCTTAACCGCGCAGAGCAGTTGACAGCCATGAACTTTGTTTCGACGCGGGCATCTGAAACGGCCTGCGGGTGGTGTTTCACAAATCGTTTGTCGGCGCCGATTGGCCGGCCCATTCTCGCTTTCAACCTCACATCACGACATCTATCTATAACGCTTTGCAAGAGCCGTCAGCTGCTATACGCTGTACACGTAGAACAGGCAAGAACCAGTCATATCCGATCGACTGAAGTTCGGCACTCTGATGTCAAGCAGGGGCGATGAAGATAACATATTACCTGCAGTGCCGGAGTCTTTCATTTGAGCATCAAATGTTACTTCCGCCATCTCGTTTGCGTCCTTTCCTCTTCATAGCCAACTAGTGTTATATGCTTTGTGCCTGTTCGATTGTAGTCATGCGCAGGATAGCCGATCACCGTGATGCCGCCCTTTGCACAGTTCGAGTCACCGCTTATAAATCTTTCTTTGTTGTGGTATTTCAACTCATGGGGAAAAGGTAGAAACTACAGGCTCAACCCTGAGGGTCTCGACTTCTTGTTGTGTTGTTCATCGTGGTCAGGTCCGCAGGGCCTTAACAGGAATTCGCCATGCGGTTGACGCATTATTTAAACATCCTCCAGCCTCCATCGCCGGCATTCGTTCCGTCCCTTCGTACAAAACAAACACCAAGGACTCCTTTTGGTAGTGACTGCAGAACTGTTCACTGCACTCGATTGAGGGGAACCTTTTAGACTAGATACCACTCAATCTTCCATGTCGCTTCATTCTTCCTTATCACTCCATCTTCCGTACCACAGACAGAAGTACTCACACTTGTGCTTCTTCATAGCACGACTCAGGTCGAGCACTTCAGTCTCTCATCCTTACCTTTCGCTTGATGAAGCTCACGGCCTTCTACCATCAGCGTCCGCTCTGGTAGCCGGAAGCTTGACTTGAAAACCCCAGTGTCATTAAACAGCACTCACTCGTATCTGTCGTACAGCGGAACCTCCAATTTACGCCTTCCACGCAGCGTCATTGAGGAATGCTGAGCCAGTCACTTCCGCTATCACGTCCAGCTGAAATACGTTCACTACCTCCCGTTCAAGCTTCAGTCGTTCACTTCCCGCTACTACGTTTTGACAGTGGCCGGCTCTTCTGTCGTCCACTGAAACTGGACGCTGCCCGAATCTCAGGTGGCGCTTTCAAACCTCGATTGACCCCGTTGGCCCCGGCCGCTTCTTGTCCATACCACATCCATCTGACGCAAAGAAACTGAACAACTTTACCGACGTCTGACATAGTTGAGACTACGGGCCGCACAAAGGAAGACCGTATCGGAAGGCACTGGTTTCGGTATGGTCAACGGTAACAGCTCAGGTGAGCGAAAGTCTGTCAGCGACTGTCAATCGCTTTTACAGCATGCTAATGTGCTTTCAAGCCGAAGCAGAGACTCCACCTTGGCTGAAGCATATTGAGCGAATGAGATTGTACTTCGCTGCCCGTGACAGTCGCCTCAACAGTGTGGACATGACGCCGACAATGTCCACTCCCGACGGCTCCGCGGCGCCTGACAAGTCCCAGAACAGCTCGAGTCAAGATGCTTCAACTTCCTCGTCGGCCAATGCCATCACTCCCAAAGGGCGCAAAGTGATTGTGTCAACGCCAGAAGCAAAACGCTTGCTGCTTTTCAGAACGCCGAAAAGGCATTGGGCTAGGATGAAGCAATGGTACAGCGATGTCAAGGCCCTGACATATCCGGGAAACCACCGGGACTGCTGGCTCTATCCAATGCCATACAAGAAGAAGTATCAGGGGACAATCCGCAAGACGTTCGCACACACCGACGAAAAAGTCTCCTACAAGGCCGGTCTTCCTTTCGGTATAGTTGCATTACTCATCCGGTACCAACTGACGCGCGAGCAAAAGAAGAACATTGTCAAAGGCTGGGAACTTAGTCACCTATGTGGAAACTGGACATGCTGCAATTGGCGTCATTTCACAATCGAAGACCACAGCACGAATGTGAACCGGAATCGCTGCTTCCGCCATCGCCAAAGGTGTCAGCATACCCCACGGTGCATGATCTACAAGAAGAAGCCTCTGTCAGAGCTGACTCCTTCCCCGCCCGCTTCCCAGGAGAGTTCTCAGGATGCCTCCGAAGCGCCGGCGACCCCCTTCCGTCAACCGCCAAATTGACAAGTTCCCGACACCTTCAGGGAACGTCCATCGCAAAGGTTGGCATGCTGTTGCCCCCAATCCGATCCTCTTCTGGAGTGCGGTCCTCTTAAGCCTTGGATGTCGAAAGCGGTCTTTCACCAACAACCCCCGAAACCACTAACGGCCACATTGAAGGATCGTCTTCACTGAGTTCTACTTAGTCTTCGTCACTGATTGGTGCTATTGTTGCACCTCCGATCAGCCATTCCATGAAGACCGCAGGTTGGCGACGCCATGAAACATCTTCAGAAAACTGTTTTGCATACTTTCATTGACTTATTCGTTGGCCACTTCCCATTCATCCCCCCCTCTCATTTTTGTTTGGGAAGCTCCAGCATTATCACCTGGGGTCAAGTTGGCATTCCATAGAACTTATCCCTATTTCTGCCCTCAGGTCCAGACAGTCAGCCTTATCTAGAGCCCAGAAATTGGAGGCTACCAGCATTCCCCTTAGTTCATTCACATCTCCACTGCCATCCACTTCCCCTTATCCACTTCCATCTTTTGAAGCTCAGCACCATTTCTTGCGTTTCACTCTGGATCCGAAAGACGGGACAGACAGACACACCCACAAATGGCGGGCAGAGCTTGGGGTACCTGCTTTGGCAAATCCATCAGACTACTCCGTATCTACAAAATCCATCGATACAACCCCTGACTTCACTTCAATGAACGTGATAAATGATTTCTGGGATATCTACTCGGAGGCCAGAACGGCGTACGGGCGGCTTCGATCCTTCCGACTGCTATGCTAGATACATATCATGATAGAGAATCCCTGCCCTCGGACCCTGAAATTGCGCTCACATTACGTGACAGCATCTCCGTGTGACCGACGACGTGGAGCGCACCCACGTGAGTGACTGTCATAGCTACGCGGGCCCTGGCGGCCTTGAGATGCATACCACGAACACTCCGATGCATATAGCTGTCCGCGTAGCCAATCCAAGCAAAAGCACGAGTTTGATACTGATTGCAGAATCTCTGCCTGCGAAAACTGGACAAACACTTCAACGGCACCATGTTGTCAGGGTGAGGACACTGAACAACGCAGAACGAGAGAAGCACCTCAAGAGCTGTTGAAACCCCAAGCCGCACCGTCGGACTTCTCCTTCTTTGACTCAGCAACACGGCATGTCCGGTCTGTTTTGACACAAGAGGATGACCAACTGGATGGCGGCGTGATGGTCGAGGAAGGTGGATGTACTGGCGGACGGTTGGGCTACAGTAGCTAGTTGTTGCTGGTACTTGCATTTCCCTCTAACCTTCAAGCATGAGCAAGACTAGACATCAATACTTTTACCTATGTTGCTAGGTAAGGCACCGATGCAGCGGTACCAAGGGCTTTCTCGTCGAGCTAGGTTAATTACGAACACTGGAAATTTTCCCGCTATATGTGCAGTAATTTGCTCATTTCACGAGGCCTTCTAACCAGACAACGAGCACTTGTCCGTTGTGCCTCACGTATCTTGGAGAGACGCGTAGAATCCGAAGCAATTCTTCATCCCGCAGATCAGGTGCCAAGCGCATGTCGCTGCGGTTCCGACGGTTCTCTGCCCGTCCTCACCTGCATCATTCATATCCGACTCACCACAAACTCTTTCCAGAGCTCAATGTCAGTTGTTGCCTCAGAATTGTGGCTCAACCCATCGTGATGTTCTCTGTCCCACGTTTTGTTGCGTCCCACCTCCGTGACAGTACCTCGTGGCTTCAAAGGCACGAGATAGGAGCTGCAATGGAAAGCCATGGACAGGCTTCGGCGGAATCGCAAGAGAACCGCCGTGTCTGAGTGATTACAATCACTACAGACTTGTGGAAATCTCCGGTCCTACTCCAAGCATGCTGACATGCTGCTGGCACCCGGCAAAGGGTGTGTTAACTCACGGCAGCAGGCAACCGAAGACGGGAGCAATTCGCAGTGCATGGAACTCAGCGTTGCTCTGGGAAGGCCTTGTAAAATAACTGCCTGCAAGGTGGCACCTCTTCGATGGGTTCCTATTGAACCCAGCATGCTACTGGTGTCAGAGGTGCTGATTGCGCGTAACCTCAGCGAACGGAGAACTTGGAAGGAGCTCGTGAGGGCCATAATCCATGTCTTGGAGCTGAAAAGCGTCGAAAATAACTCTTGTCTCCCAGCTGTGTTAGTATTTTGATATCCGAAAGGATTCATGGTGTGGTGATCTTTACGGTGTCCCTTCTCCGACCATAGTTCTTCATAGTACTTCCATGAACAGAAACCTCAACGCTGCGATCACCGCTCTCCGAACATCCCTTTACAAGCCCGATTGTTTTCTATGACCATAAATACTGTCTAGCCAGACTGTTCCACCTATTGCAGCAACCGCTTTCAGACACTTCATCGCCATTTCCAACCTGGCGGACCGGATGCAGAGCAGCCGCCGCCGCGGTGAGTGTAGTCGACTAGAAGACCTCACCAACGCCTCGCTCGCTGACACTCTAGTACAACAGGACGGCGACGGCTCGCACCGGCAACCGCTGCGCGCTCAGGAAATCGACTCCCCATCAGGACTCCGCAGATCCGTTCCAGCTCGCCCTTCTCACACATTCGGATTGTGTCGAAGCGCTCATATTTGGAGGCTGCACAAGGAGGTTTCGTGAACGAAGGCGATGCTGATCCTGTCTTCCGCTCATCCTCCTACCAACTGCTAGCCGCTTCCAGTGTGGCACGACCGACAACGTCTAGCACGCACGAGAACGAGTCTCCCGGCCGATCCTCTGCCCATACGTTTGCTGATATGGCGCGCGCCGCTGCCCGTGCGGACGCTCGCGAGCTTGACAACAGTGACATGGACTCTGTTTTTGGGCCTGCTCATAGCGGCGTCGTCAGACTACGGCCAATTCGCAAGGCCAAGGCAACCTGGAAGCCGCTGGATCTCTCTGATATTGACAGTGACAACTACTACGCCAAGCCAGAGGGCCTGGCTAAGACCATCGATTTTCCGCGTCGCGCTGAGCAAGCACTGGCTGACGAGACGGATATCACCGCCCTGACCAGCGACAGTGTCTCCTCCCGACGCGATTCAGCCGCCTCACTGGTCAGACCCATTTCACACCACTCACAATACGAGTTCACCCCGCAGGCTCGAAATCGAACCCCTTCAAAGGCATTCAACCAAACTGCTCGTGCCGATCCTGCAAACCCTGCTCACACTTCGACCCTATCCGAACCCGCCCAAAATCAGAGTGACGACTCTCCCGCAAAGCCCTATCCAGACGATATCATTGCAGTGTTCGGACCGAACCTACCTAAGCCGGGATTCCTCGACCAGACCGAAGGTGAAAGGGAGGGGGAAGTCCGCTTCGTTCACCATCCCAACGACGACGTCTCCGCTCATCAGTGGTCGTCCACTGAGTTCCGCTGGGTCAACCTTGGGCAGTTTTCCTACGAACGGAAGAGGATTGAAGGCACACTGGCCAAGGACAGACTGAGAGGACAGACGGCCGAGATGAGCTTGCATCAACACTCGCTGGCATACTTCCGCGCCGTTGGCAAGCAGCGTGAAGGATCTGATCTCCGGCAGGGGATGCCTCAGCTTCCATCGTTCACTGGAATAGATTACAACAAGAAAAATCGGCCCCCTCTGCATACGACCATATTTGGTGATAGTAGCGGTCGCTACGCTTCGCTGTCGACCGTCAACCCGACCCAAGAGACGAACCTGCCTACACTTGGAAACCTGGGGCTTTCTCGCGGCCCCGCTGCTGCCAACCAACAGCCGCCCCATTTTCCGCAGCCCTTCACCAACCCTCAAGACGATCCATTCGTCTCCAGCCCTCCCGCTCATCTGCCCAACAATTCAGGACCGTATTCTGCCATCAATGACCACGCTCAGCTAAGGCCGGTGCAGGGGATGAACTTCGGTTTCCAGTTCCCGTCTCAGCCCGAGGCAAGTGGGCAGCCGGATATGGGGTCCAATAGCATCTTTGAGGCTTCTGACCGCCGCCGTCAGATGTTTGCCGAGCAAGAACGTAACCGTATCCAACAAGACTTGTGGCCGGAGAATCGCCAGAAGAATCTTCGCGGCATTGATGTCGGGGAGGAAGCAGCCAACTCTCTACGCACCTTACGCGGTTCGGCACCCGAATTCGCGTTTCCTGCCAAAACACAGCCGGCAGATCAAGCCCCGCTGCAACAGATTGGGAACTTACGCTCAACTCGTGCGTCGATCAAGGAGCAAGTTAGCCGACTGAGCGATTCGGCGGCAGCTCGAACAGTTGGCGGCAGCTTGCCCAGAACCGTTCTCCACGATCCTCAGGCTGGACCATCAACTCAAACTTACTACCCGCCTGCAGAGCCCTTGCCACGTCCGACTGGCAGTGCTTTCCCCCCGCACACGCTTCCGAGTGTCCTTACCAATGCTGCAGCTTACCAAGCTAACCAGGCGTATCACATTCCTCCACAGCACCACGGCTTTCTACAGCCGCAGCCCCAAGAGCAACTGCCATCCTCTTCCGGCTCAGCAGCCATCGGCCGTGACCCTATCCAAGCACGCCAGGCTCTCCAATACAACAGCGACTCCATCGGCAACTACCAGAACGGCGAGCACGACATCATCACCTTCACCTCGCCCTCCAACCTCAGCTGGGACCAACTGAAAGCCCTAAAACCAACGCCCCAGAACTTCAAAGGTCCCTTCTTCCAAGACACGATACCAACAGCTTCAGACCTAACCCAACCCCTCGCAACCCACAAAGACTTCGACACCGAGCTCCACGACTGGTGGACCAACACCAAGCTCAAAGAGCGCCACAAGGAAGCTTATGAGGCTTACACGTGCGTCTCTTCTTCGCCCGTCAGCATGCGCAACGTCCGCGGCAGAGGCCAAGGCGTACCTCACCCCGGAGCGATCGGCAGCGGGCGGCCGTCGGCGCTGAACACCGACACCGGCCCAGGCATAACGCGTCTCCTGATTCCGATCTTCGAGAATCTGTCGAGCTACGTTCAAGGGCCGGAGGAGACGCGGCATGACTTCTGGGCACGATACGCGAAACCGAAGGCGGAGTGGGTGGATGAGAACCCGGATAGGGCGAGGAGTTTCTTTGGGAAGACCGAGACTTCTCCCGTGGTCGACAGAGGTCGCAGGGATAGTGTGTTCAAACCTACCGCGGGTGGGGCGCCGCAGACGTTGTTTGAGCGCTTGGGCGGTCGTGGACTGGAAGGTCTTGGTGCTGCTCGTGGGGGTGCTGGAATTGGGTTTGGGAGCTTTGCGAGTGGGGTGTGCTAAGCGGTGGATAACTTTATGGGCAGTGTCTGCAGGAGAATGGCGATGGAGCTGGGTTGACCGGCGGCTACGGTGGGCATCTCTTCCACCTGGGCGCCATCTTGTTCAAGGTGGATTACGAACCAATGATATCATGGAGGGAAGGCGTAGGTTTTGCTAAAACATGCTGTGCTGTCACACACTGATGGCAAGTGGCGAGATGTGGCCATCCCATAGACGAAAAAAGCGAACATTTGATGTATTGCATGCCGTGCTTCATGAGGTTATCCTTCACTGCTGACCATTCCCTTCTCCGCTTGAGATATCGCAAAAGAGCAGCTTGGTAGCCTTATCGCCGTCGCTATCATGCTCGTCGTCGCTGTCGCCGGCGCTGTAAGAAAGTGAACTGAAGCATATGCGGCGTTCTACGTAACCGCTCGTGCTACCGAATTCGGAAACGGAAACGGAGGGATGTCCATAGAACTACCTACGTATCCCAGCCACATGGTACTGCAACAAACTCAAGTAGTTCTACTTATTACAAAAGCTGCACATTCCTGCGAAGTAGTAAGGAATGCCCTCATAAGGTCGATTTACCAGCAATGGTATCGTCAGCGAGTACTCTCGAGCTATCCCGGCTCGTTCAAGACCGCGCCATGCCACGCAATGAAGGATCTCAACCCTGGCTCATTCCTTGTCATCCTTGCCGTCATCAGGGCCGGCCCAGACGTCCCGGAACTCAAGTAAATCCTTCTGTCCATACAGCTCTCCAGTGATGGTGATGATCATGTCAAGCGTGGCTTTTGTGTTCGCATCCGGTACCTCCTCATGATCTTCATTATCCACTTCTCCTTCCTCGGGTTCAGCAGCCTCGACAGCTTTTTCTGTACCTTCTTCATCTCCGGCCTTGCCATCTGCTTTCCCCTGAGATGGACTAGACTCAGCCGATCCTTCATCCTCGTTCTCTGCTCCTTCTTCCTTCAAGCGAGCCACGTGCCGTTCGTTGAGGTCGCGCATCATCTCAGCGAGATTCCTTTTCTTCGGGATAACTACCTCGCCCACAGTAGGATGATAAACCTTGATTTCATCCCCCAGCATTGCAACAATAGGCGGTGGTTCAGCGAGCCCTTCCGGAATATCCACAATCCTCTGTCTCGTAGCTCGATGTGAAGGCGTAATTAATGGGTCGTTCAGACCTATCGCGTCTGCGATGCTCATGTCCACGACTTCTGGTAAGGGATCAGGCAAAGAGCTCGACGAGTTGCGACGACTTGTTTCCTCTTCCTCCGTTTCTCTTGTGCTCTTCTGAGGAGCCCGGCCCTCCTTCTCCTCTCCCTCTTGCTCCGCCTCCATCCGCTCCCTCTCAACCTCAACCCTCGGCCTCCACTCCTCATCCTCCTCACCCACCTCACCCCCAAACCCCTCCGTAGCCTCCGCAATCTCTTTGCTCACGAACCCACATCTGACCCACACGGCCCTCTTTCCCAACTCCCTCACCGCCCCCACCTCCTCGCTCCCCAGTGTCCCAAGCTCGGGCAGCCGGGCCAGCAGACCCCACGCCCATGCGCTGCCTCTGGCTGAGATGTTGCTGGAGCGCCGCAGGACGCCGGTTAGGAGGCTCAGGGCCCGGAGAACGGTGCGTGTGTCCATAACAGCGAGCTGGACGGGGGACGGGGGGGAGGCTGAGAGAGAGGCACGCCATTCGCGGAAAGCGGCGGCGGAGCCGGGGGGGAGGGAGATGAATTGGGTGGGCTTCAGCGCCGCGACTGCGGAGGCCGGAGGATTCGCGTGCAGAATAGCTCGCTGGCGGTGGAATTGAGCGAGTAGGCGGGCGCGGTAGGCCCTTTGTGGTGCAACGGGGGCTGGCGTCGTGGATGAACGAGCGGTGGGCGGCAGAATTGGACCAACGACGGGAGCAGCGACATACGCGCCGTCGGCGTAGTAGCCGCGGGAGTCGCCGTAGCCGGTGTCGTAGATCGAGGCGTCGTATTCACCTTCGGAAACGGTGGGTTTAGGGGCGACAAGCAGGTTGGGGATGAAGGCCGCTTCGGTCCTAGAGCTGCGTCAGCGAGCGCTGAGCCATTTGGACGGGGTACTGTAGGCGGTTGAGTAAAGGGACTGAGGGCGGCGATTCGGACAAAACTCACCTCACTGATCTTAGATATGCAAGGGCTTCAAAAGTGTCGGGCTCCTCGTCAGCAGACTCGTCGAGACCGGGCAGGAAGCTTCGTTGGCCGTATGTAGGATCGGGGCGCGGTTGGCGGCTGGGAGGCTTTTTGTCCGGAGCTGGACACTCTTCGTCTTGCCCCTCATCGTACTCCTCGCCGCTTGCCGGCTCCTCTGCTGGAGGGGCATCCGAGCGGGAGAGCTTGCGGTATGGTTCTTCATCGTGCTCGGGAAGCTGTGCTGGCGGAGCTGTGAGTGTGTTTGGGCGCTGTAGCTTGTTGTAGCGGGCGCCGTCAGCAGTAACGGCGCGGTTTTCTCTCTTTCTCTTCGTCATTGCAAGGTAGGAATCTGGAGCTCATGGCTCCTCAGTTCGGCGTTGGGAAGCTTTGAAGTTGAAGCTTTCAGCCCTACAAGAAACAGATAAGATTCATGAGATTAGATTCTGTCACTGAGGCTGAATGGGGCTCAATGAGGCTGAATTCAAGAGGGCCGGATGAGATCATAGCCGGAGTTTATCTTCAAAATGTATCACAAACTCCGTAACCCACTCCTGTCTGCTTTACATCCCCACTTACCACCCACTCTCCCTTACAGTTGACAGCTACAATGCCACGCACCGCAGCGCGTAGATACAGGCACTTTGAGCCGGCCAACTCCTCCACCCCAAAGCTGTCTAAGAGTAGCTCAGCAGAACCCCACGCCTCCGCCGAACCGCCACATCTCCCCGCCAACTACGCTCCACACCTCCCGACAGAGATCCTCCTCCACATCCTCAGCTTCATACCACCTCGCCGTACCTCCCAAACAACCCTTGCCTCCTTCTGCCTCGTCTCCCGCGCCTGGTACGCCGCCGCCATAACCCGTCTATACGAAAAGCCCTCCATCCACGGCAAGAACTTCGACCCCTTCGTACGCACAGTCTGCCCCTCCATTAACGCCCACGTGCGCAAATCCGAGCTCGCCGAGCTAGTAAAAGTTCTTGACCTAAGCAGCCTGGTTCACCATGGCAGCAAAAGCGTAACAGCTCGCCTGCTCGGCCGCACAAAGGCGAATCTACACACCTTCGTCGCGCCGCAGGCGAGCTTTGGCCTCAACTGTCTCGCCGCGCTGAGCAAGTGCCAGCAACTCCGCGTCCTGGATCTGGGGCTTATATCTGAGAGTATTGGGCTCCAGGACCTCATACATGCACTCGCTAAGCTGGGCACCCTTACCACCCTTGCGTTTCCGCGCTGTTCGCTGAGCCGCAGCGGCTTCTACCCACGAAGCATATCCTGGCCGCCGCGACTGGCGTCGTTGACGCTCAGCGGTGGAGTGGATAACGAAATCGTTTACAGAATGGCCACGTTGGATGGGTGCAAGCTCCCGCCATCGCTGACGAAGCTGTCACTCACGCACTGCACCGCCGTCATGGCTTCCACCGCCCTCGAGCTCATACGCTCCCTCCGAGACCAATTAGTCACACTTCACATCACCGACATGCCGCGCTTCGGCGTCGGCGACATGAACACAGTGCTCTACGACCTCCCCAAACTCCTCCATCTGACCGTCTCTCTGGACTACCTAGACTGTGGCGCCTTCAGAATCACGCCGGTGTCAGCACTCGAAGTTCCGCGTATATACCCGCTACAAAGCCTGAGGCTAGTACTATCGGGTAATCCCGCGCCTCCAGAATACGAGTGCAGCCCCGCGGACCTCGAAATCAACATCAACAGAGGCTTCTTCCCATTTCTGCACGATGTATCCGTCGCAAAGAGCTGTGGGTGGAATAAAGGCAGCCACGCGGATGAGCTACTCGGTCTAGCTGAGGTGGTCGAGGAGCAGGACGCCAAGAACCGCAAAGCTCGCCGCGGTTTATATGCGAGTCTTTCGGACGAGGAAGTCGCGCGGATACCGCCCGGTGGGGTTTGGGAGATCGAGGGATGAAATGAACCATATAGATCAATGTGTTCTACTCGAAAAGCGCTCTTGTACTCTTTTCCCTCTTAGAAATCGGTATGCCGTGCACGTTTCGTTGGTGTTCTCTCAAATGATCCTTTCTTCTAAATCCCTGCGACCCTACCCTGCCGCATCCAGCGAAGTCGCACTCGAACGAAATCACGTTTTCTCCGTGGACGCCCATGCGATGTCTCGTCAGATCCGCCGCGCGTTTGAAGGAAGCGTCGCAACTATTGCAGGTGTATGGCGTTTCGTTGAGCATTGAGGGCAGTGCTGGTTCGGAGGTGAGCGATGATCGAGACGAACAGTGCGACAGCGCTGGTGGGGTCTGCTGCGAGAAGGCGGCCGAACCGATATGAGGAAAAGAATAGTATTTGCTGTCGTATGATTCTTTTGATACGTTCAAGCTTTCCGTGACCTTCCATTGACCCGTGGCCTTTGCAATAAGCTCCGGGTAGGCATGTGTTGCAGCATCCAAGCCTTGGAAGGAATTGCCCGCGGTGTCGGACGGGCCGTCAACCAAGGCCGTGTCATACGGGACCTCCTCCGTGATATGTGCGACAAGGTTCGGGTCGGCATGTGCCGCAGCATCCAAGCCCGAAAGAGGATTGTTCACGGCGTCGGACGGGCGGCCGAGCGTCTGGTATCTTCTCCGTTGCCGGCCACTGGCGAATTTGTCCAAGGAGCCGCCGGTGGTTAGCGTTCTCGGCGACAAAAGAGATAAGCGCGGGTCGGAATAGTCAAAGCCCGAGGGATAGAGCATCTGATGTTGCGCAGGTAACTGGTGATTGGAGAAAGCCGTATTCCCAAGCGTTGTGAGGGGGTCTTGCATTTGCTGTCGACCTCGTTGGAGGGGAATAGTGTCGTTCTGATTGACTCCAACATGGCTGCCTCTCCCAGACCAATCTTCGAGGAGCGAGAGCTGCTTGTCTATGGCCGAAGACGAACCGATACCATATGTGAGCGAAGCGGAACTTCTATGACCCGGGAAGACTTCGTTAGGATCCATCTTACCGGTGGATGGCACTGGTACAACACACTGCTCCGTAGATGTCTCGCCGATGGGCGACTTGCAGTGCAAATGGAGCTGACTGTGCAAGCGTTTCCTGGCATCTTTGAAGACGTTGTATGCAGGCATGACATACGCGACTCGGGTGTGTTCGCAGCCAGCTATGATATGCCCATACAAACCATGGGTCTCGGCGCCGATAATCCAGGATCCGGAATCGCCTTTGGCTAGAGGTCCATTGAGCTGAACCATGTATACCTCCTGGTACGTCCTACTACCCGGCAAATGGGTATAAGAAGGTGTTCCCGACAAGGTGCCGGTCAAGTATCCTTGTGATGCGGTGTAGGTAACGATCTTCGTATCCTTGGGGCCCGTTGTGACGACATGTGTCGGCTGAAGCAAGTCTGCCTCGTGTCCACTGCCGCATAACTCCTCCACGGCAGCCAGTGCACTTGGTCCTGCAATCTCAATTAATGCGTAGTCCAGATCGATGGAAACCAGTTTCAAACGACCTGCAGTTGCTGTCAGGCCGGTAAGGGAGTCAGGTATCCCTGCGAAGCCGCTAGGAACCAGAGTGGGCGTCTTGGGCTCGAGATTGCTGCTGCCAGGAGCATGAGCCCCAGTAGCGTTCGTTCCAGCCTGTGGGTCAATGGTTCGATCGTCGATCTGAGTTGAAGTATCCGGGATTGAGACACCCCTAACGGAGGAGAAACCCGAGCTGCTATTCTCTGAACCAGTGCCATACACAGAGCGATCACTGTCCGGCGTGGTACTGCCTTTGCTGGTGATATCTACGTCCATTTCGTCGTAGGAATTCTCATCAGTGTGGTCGTCATTGTTGTCGTAGAGCTCATACTCGTCATCGCATTCGCTCGGCATGCTCAAGTCTTCCGCTTGTGTATCGTCGGAAAATACATGTCCAGAAGTAAGAATGTAGGCCGTTCCACCACATTGAACAATGCCGCCAGGTGTAGCCATTCGGGTTGAAACCCCGTTCGCGGTTCTATGTGTAACCATAACATGTCGGCCAGACAGACCGACTGAATGGTCACGGACATCCTCTGCTCCTGCTTGGTGAATGTTCCCATCCGTTTGACTGACTGTGTTGTCTGTTGCCAGCTGCTTGAGGTGCTTGACTCCGGGCGGCGAAGACATGTGCCCGAAGTTGATCGCAGGATAGTTCTTCGAGACCTCACTCTCTCGTACCGCTTTGCAAGCATCTTTTCGTGGTCCCGGCTGGTTGCAGATGAACATTATTGTCGGCACGGTGGTCTGCCGGGTACTGCCGACCATATATATTGACCAAGTAATCCAGCTCAAGCTTGGAACCGAATCGCCGCAGCTCTTAAGATGAAGCGCTATCTCTGGTGCCAAGCTGTCGAATGCCTCTCGAGCCGGTCCTTTAGCTTCCCAGTATCTGTCTTTTCCGTGGACTAGTCCGATGTAGTCTCCAGTGGAGTCCTCCGGGTTAGGCCAGCATCTCTTATTGCGGCGAAGGCGTGCCCATGGATCTCGAGCCTGTCCGCTCATGACAATTGATGTACAGTTCTCATTCAGGTGACGAAGGCAACCAACAGAATGCGGATGAAAGGTTGAGTCATCAAGAACGAGTTATTGACGTTTAAGAAAAGAAGACAACTAAAGGATGGCGAGAAAATGGGTCACCGTAAACTTAAAACTCAGCCTCAAGTCCGGTTTTCCCAGTTCTGGGGGTCTTGTGCAAGAAGACGCAGCTGAGAAGGAACCACAAACCTCGTTGGTTCATGCATCGCAGTGAGGCGGCACGGGCGGCACCGCTCAGCGAATCGAGTCCGGATTGGATTGATTGGTGGCACAGCCTCGCAGCGTTCAACCCCAAGCTGAGCTCGTACAACTGGCTGCATGTTAAATGCCTGCTTTTCAGCCGTCGATACGAATGTGAAGGCTCTGCCAGACGGCGCATATGCCTCTCCACAGCAGGGGTTCCAGGTGAACCATCAAACCGAAGAAAACGGTTGCCTGAACAATCGCTGTACATATACGCGTCGACTGGTCTTCGCCGGGCGAAGGTAGAAGTCTTGTTGCTCTGCTTTTCCCGCCTCTCGCTCAAAATCAACAGGACCAGCGCGCCAGCATGGCCTTGCTCGGTGACCAAATCAGCCAAATACCTGTCTCCACATCCACAAGAACGGGGCTCCTTAACAGTCTCTGGAATCGTAACGCTGCTCCCAAGCTAAAGAGCGAAGAACTCGATCTAGAGGCTTACTTCGCTTACCATACCCAACAATGCATCCAAGCATGGCACGATGGCGGGCGTCATATTGCCGATTGTACGCACCGCGACATCGCCGAGATTGCGCAGGAAATTATTGATGGGTCGGCAAGGGAAGATATCAAATCGCGGTTGGCCTTGAAGCTCACAGCGCCGAAATCAGCAAAACAAGATGAACTGCTGGGTAGTTGTATTGATTTCACAGCACGGCTCGTTTCCATGATGGACATCGGAGTGCTTCAATATGCGTTCTCCGGGCGCAGGCAATTGGAGTGGAAGCATGGGTCCCTCATAGATATCGTCCATGACTACTTCAACGAGCCTGTTGTTCTTGTACACGACAAGGTGAAATTAGGGAAGATGTTCAATGCGCGTAATCTCAGCCAGATTGCGGGCATCCAGATTGAATGGACGGATAACCTAGCCGACCATCTCCGCATCATTGATGACGAGGATAAAAAGGTAGCCATCTTTCACCACGCATCGTTCTTGAGATATAACCGAAGGTATGTAGATTCTTTACACTATTCGAGATATTGCGAGGCTTATTCGTTTCAGTCCGCTTTTCCCAGATGGACTCGCTGAAGAAACTCTTCGTACACTTGCGCTGCTCTTCCCACAGACCGACAAGGACTCCTTGAAGTGGTTCAAAAAGCTGCCATGCTCGTTGGGTCTCGATAAAACTTTAGTCAAATGCGGTCACCTCAGAGTCGATAGCCGACAGATCGAGAACTTCAGATTCTGGCATGACCGGTTGGTCATACTCAAACAAGTCTTCGACGAGTCCCGGCCCAGCACACTATTACAATGGTGGTGCGATAGGCGGAATGGTGTCCAGTGGTACACATTTTGGGTCGCTATTCTGGTCTTGTTTTTGACCATCTTCTTTGGCATGGTACAGAGTATCGAGTCCGCTTTACAGGTGTATAAGGCGTACCATCCGACAGTAACATAAGAAGTTCCCAAGGTAGTTGTAGCACGATGGGCATGGATCTCTTCGCAGGCGACAACAAATGCCGAGACCGGTCGGACGCGGACAATCTCATCCGCCGACATGCATCAGCGTTCGCTCCATGATGTTGCATCTTGGGTTGTTTGGATGTTTCCAACCATGAACAAACTGCCCGGCATTCTACACCAGTTCTCCAAGCTATCAACTCCATGTGTTCCCTGGATAGCACGGCAAGCGTCACGGCCTCAATCCCGCCCGCGATGCCCACAACGCCCGCCAACTATCCTCCACCCGCAACAGCGCCGCCATGCGCATAATCCTGCCGACGATCCCTCCTTCCACTCCATCGTTGACAGCCCGCCCCAACTTATAAAATCCGGCCGTCGTCATGGCCCCGGTCTCATAATCCTCGGTATTAGCTTCCCTCCGCGCCCCCCGCGCCCCCTCCACCCCCTCCACCCCCTATGCCCTAACCCCCGACTTACACATCACGCAGCCCTCATACCCATCACGGCCTTCGCCCTCGGGACATGGCAAGTACAGCGCCTATCCTGGAAAACCGACCTAATCGCACGCTTCGAGGACCGCCTCGTGCGCCCGCCTCTCCCCCTGCCCCCCCGCATCGACCCCGCCGCGATCCACGACTTCGACTACCGCCGCGTCACCGCCCGCGGGAAATTCAGACACGACCAGGAGATGCTTGTCGGGCCCCGCCTGCACGACGGCAACAACGGCTACCTAGTCGTCACACCCCTGGAGCGCGAGGACGGGAGCAAGATCCTCGTCAACAGGGGCTGGATCGCCAAATCCATGCGCGAGAAATCTGCACGGCGGGCCAAGGACCCGAAGGCGCTGCCGGAGGGCGAGGTCACGGTTGAAGGGCTGCTGAGGGAGCCGTGGAAGAAGAACATGTTCACGCCGGAGAACCGGCCGGATAAGGGCGAGTTCTACTTCCCGGATGTGGAGGAGATGGCAAGGCTGTCAGGCGCGGTGCCCGTATGGGTTGAGGAGACGATGAAGCCGGATTTGGTGGAGGCGTATGATAGGGAGGCCAGAGGGGTGCCGATTGGCAGGGCGGCGGAGGTCAATTTGAGGAATAACCATACGCAGTATATCTTCACGTGGTAAGTTTGGGGGCTAAAAACTTGGGCGCGGTTGTGCGAATAGTGGCACAGTGGCTGACATGGATGGTGCAGGTATGCGCTTTCCCTGGCAACTTCTATCATGCTCTGGATGGTTATCAAGAAACCAGTGTCAGGCATTGCTCGCCGGGCTCGCCGGAGCCAGGAGTGGTAAAATGTATTGGTACTACATAACTCTCAGCCGACCGATTCCTCCTCATCAATCGTTTCCATCCGGCGCTTCTTCGCCTTCTTCGACTTTGCCGGCGTCGGCATACGGATTTCTTGTAGCAGTTCCCTAGGAAGGAACTTCTGCGCCAGAGAGAAAGGCGTAGTATTGGCGTTAAGCAGTCGCTGCCTGCACAAAGTGATCGTTAGCATATATGTGCGGTATGTAAAAATCTACGACATACCTCTTCATCAAAGTAACAACATCCCCTTCGTCAATAGTCCTGCGTCCCGCGTGATCCGCATAGCTTTCGAGATCCTCTCCTATCTGCTCAAAAAACCAGTCTGATGTCTGTACTATAGCATCGAGCGTCTCTTTGTTGATCTTGGCGTTGCCGTTGCCGGCTGAGCGTAGGAAGGTAGTGGCTAGGCGTTTGACGACCGTTGGTGGGAGGGACGGGTACTCGATACCGTGCTTCGATAACTTGAGCTCTTTGCGTTTCCGCTTTGCTGTTTTTGCGGTGGGCTTAAGGGGATCAGCTTGAGGGCGTTCGGCTGCTGTAACCGAGTCTTCGCGAAGAGTCCTCTCTTGGGCGTCTTCTGCATTAGCTGCCTCTTCGTCGAGCTCATCCTCCGCCTCAGCATCGTCCAGTTCATCTGCAGGCACGATTTGCTCCTCATCCACCTCCTCTTCCGCTCGTGCGTCTTCCTCTTCCTCAGCCTCCCGCTGCTCCCGCACAGAACGCGCCCTATCCGGCACGACAAACCTAAACGTATCATCCTCGACTTCCTGCCCAGCCTCAGCCCCAACACCAAGATCGCTCTGTCTCCCTCCCCGTCTCAGTGCCTCAGCAAAAGCCTGCCCATCCCGCGTGTCCTCCTCAAGCAACACATCGACATCAAACCCAGCCTGCTCCAGCAAATCCCTCGCCGTCTCGTCGTCGACAGTCACGTTCCCGGCTTCGTCGAGGATGGACGCGGCGTCGATGCCTAGCTCGTTGAGATCGGCGAAGCGCTCGCTGAGGCGCGTGCTGCCGAGGGAGAGACGGGGGATTGTATCTACTGTGGCGCGCCGGTTGGCTTCGAGGGAGCGCGTTGTTGTGTCCTCGTCGTTGAGGGCGAGGGATAGGCGGGGAGGTTTCACGTGGAAGGAGTCGTCGTCTGAGAGGTCGTTGAAGGGCATTGAGAGGCGGGGGGCTGGTGGATGGTCTTCTTCTTCTTCGTCCTCCTCGTCGAGCATACCGCTCCGCACATGCTGTATCCCATGAAGCTGAGGCGATGGCTCGATGGTCGCCGTGTTGCGCGCTAGTAACCTGCTGAGGTTTCTCAATACATCCCTCGGCGTCGCTCTCTGCACCCTCCCGCTCCGCCGCCTGTCCCTTCCGGGTGTAAGCGCGGCGTTTCGGCGTGCTTCGAGTGCTTTGAGCGCGTGTGGTGTTGTCGGTGGGCCCCGTCTTGCAGTCTGTCTTGGACCTATCTGAGGGGTTTTGTTGGTGTGTCGGCCGGTGGAGAGAGGGCCTGCGGTTGGTGTGCGGCGGGTTTGGGGGGTCGTGTGCTTCGGTGCCACGGCTGCTAGCTTGCGGAGCTGACACAGTGTTAGACTGTAAGCTTTGCTAAGAGCTGAGAGGAGTACTGTACAGTGGAGAAGGGTGTTTCTTCGAGCTCAAGTTCGTTGGCGGCGGAGTTGCGGGGAGTTGTTCGGGGGCGCTTGGGGCGTGGTTCAGTCATTGTGTCGGGATATCTGTGCGTGCTGATTTTGCAGAAAGTTTGGCCCTCTGGTGGTATTCCTAGCTATCGGTACCACTGTTGTTGACCAGCTCTATCACCGCCTGCAGCAATGAAGCGGGAGACGCGCCGTGGACCCTTGAGAGCGTTGATCCCGACGCGAGCGCGGCTGCTCTTGCGGCACTTATCGATAGCGTAGGGCTGAAAACCTTCCGACGACAGAACTTGAGTAAAGTTTCCTCGCTGCAGAGCAGAAAGTCCTGTCTACAACATTATCCACAATGTCGGACTCCGAAGCCGGTGGCGTACCCCTCCTCGAGCCCCTCTCTCCCTCAACTTCTCCCGCACCCACATTATCCACAAAGCGGAAGCGAGAAGCCGAGCCGAAAAGCAAACGAGCCGCCAAGCGCAAGCGGACGAAGAAGCCCAAAGACATCAACGAGGATGAGCTGGATGAAGAGCTGGGTGTGAACACCGCAATCGCGCGCATGGACAGTCGATTGCTGGCGGACTATGTCGCCCAGCGCACCAAGCGGTTTGAGAGCGATCTGAGCTTGGTGGAGCTGGAAGATAGATATCTGCCGGAGCGAGCTATTCGAGACACGAGCACGTGGAAGGAGCAACGGGACTTGGAGCATCTACCGGCGTTCTTGGAGAAGTTTGGCAAGGGCTTGAAGGAAGCACCGAAGGCGAAGGGGAGTCCTCATACGCTTGTTGTGGCTATTGCTGGATTGAGGGCTGCGGACCTGACGAGGTATGTTACTTTGCTAGAAATGCATTTGAATTGCCTGGCATTGATGCTGACCGGTGAGGAAGGGCTCTCCGGAAGTTTCAGTCAACGGACGCCACGGTAGCTAAGCTCTTTGCAAAGCACATCAAGCTGAAGGAAGCAATCGAGTCATGCAAGAAGACGAGGATGGGCATTGGTGTGGGCACACCTCAGAGAATAATCGATCTACTGGATGACGGTGCGCACTCAGAGTTCCCTCCTTCGGAGTATGAACTTGGCTGACGATGAGCAGGTGCGTTATCTTCAGATAATCTGAAGCGGATCGTGATTGATGCCTCCCACATTGACCAGAAGAAGAGAGGCATCCTGGAAATGAAGGAGACCGAGGTACCTATGGTGCAGCTGCTCGCTCGTGATGAATTCAGGAAGCATTACGGTGCCGCGGAGAACAAGGTCGAGCTGCTGTTCTACTGAATAGCCAATTACTGCAACACAGCACTGTGAGACAACGGGCTCTGAACAAAGTTGTGGACACTCTCAGGTAGCGCATTGCTAGTCGTCTGAGTTGCATGTGCCGAAGTTGGACAAGAAGGCTGCCGCGTTGATGTTGAGGGAGGTCATTCTGAGCGATTGTGGCACCTAACCCGGCCACATGGTGGTTCTGAAGCTAGAGATGCACCTTATGCAGAAAGGCTGCTCAAGCGGAGAGCTCAACGTGATGGGACTCGAAGCCGCAAGGCAGGTTATCGCTGTCGGATGACGTCTCTTGATTCACATCGTCGACTCGAAGCTGGAGACTGGAGTGTGCTGATGGCGCTGGTTGAGACGAACCTACGCGCCATCTGTCAAACCAGGCAATGGGATTTCCGAGTCTCCATCTATCCCGAACAAGCGAGACTCTGGTCGGGGACGCTCGGACTGTATCAGAGTGTGGCCGACGTTGCACTGCGACTGGGTGGATCCACCATCAGTATCGCCCCATCTTCTCAACCCTTCTCGCTCCGCTCCTCACATGCAGGAATCGCTCACTCCTTGCGGCCTGCCCTCTACGTCTTCTGCAGCGCTCTTGAGCCTGTCTTTCGTTCATCCTCCGCTTCCTGAACGCCAAAAGTCGATTCTGCATCTTTGAAGTGTCCCCCATCTGTCCTATACAGCCATTCTGTCACACTCCAACATGCATCTCAATCCGCTTCTCGTAGCTTCCGCCATTCTGTTCTTCACGACCGGGGCCAACACCACTACTGCCTCTGCCACACCAGGTGAGGTTTTTTGAAAGGCAGTGGCTGCTGTGTTCACTAACGGTTTTCAAGAGTGCCTGCCGAGATGCTGGGAAAACTCGAAATACGTCAGCAATTGTGCCGACAACGAGCCCTGCCTCTGCGAGGACGCAGACTTCCAGAATGCAAGCCGTACCTCCCAGGCCCGCCGCCACACTCCCTACCTCCCGGCCTCCAAGAACCCCACTGACCCCTCATCCTGCTCCCAGGCCGTCCATACCTGCCTATATTCCCAGTGCGAGACCGCCCGCTTCGCTTCAGCCATCCACGTCGCTCTGTCGAGATGCCCGGAGAACCTCCAAGGAGATACCACGCCCGCTCTCCTACGACACAGCAGGCGCAAGCGGGACGCCCAGGCCTATGAGGACGGTCACCCACCGCCGCCTCCGAAGTATCCGCCGCCAGATTACCCGGGCTCGGTCTACCCTCGTCCGACTCCAAGGGTTCGGCGCCAGGTTCCATATGGACCCGGGTCTTATGTCAGGCAGCAGGAGAGCTATGCTACCTCTACGGCATATGCTGGGCCTGCTGAGTCGCCTGTTCCGACAGCTGATCCGTACCAGCCGCCTGGGCCGGAAGCGCCGCATCCACCGTACGCTACGCCTGATGCGTACCTAGGCGACGGCGCACTCTAGCGAGACCTTACGGTTCGTGTCCGGCCGCTATAGAAACTACGGGCCATGGACACCTCAGATGATGGTTTGCTGGCATTCAATCAGGGTGCAATATATGGCTATCTAAAAGTTGCGGGTATACTTAACGCATGTGTATCCTATCGATGTGCTCTTGGGCTGTTTATCTTCCTCCTAGCTTATGTTTGCATTTATTAGCACTTTTCGTGTGCGTTCCTGTAGAGCCATGAGTAGCTCGAAAGGCCTAGATTAATTACTAATGGAATACTCATGTCCTAAAACTTACTCGTCCTGAAGACCCGTGTCTCGTGCTGTTCTTACCTGTTCAATCCGTGCTTTCGATCGAGTCTCCTCTGACAGGCTAGCTTCTATTGCTAGTAGCTGTACACCTCATACCTGCGTGACAGTGCAATCATTACACGAGGTCCCCTCGAGCTACTACCAAGCCTTGCCACAGTCCGCTATTCATTATTGAGAGATTCTGAGCCGGGTGTTTCTTTCATTAGATTCAACAGAGCTATGCATTTACACCACGTCTCGAAATGTGGTTATGAGACACGACGGAGGCCTTTCCAGATGTGCACCTCACACAAGGGGTGTCCGCTCACCGGGGGGGAAGCATGGTCGTGGTGATCTTGGACTTGAAATCTTGTCCCGGCTTGCAATCAGCAAAGGAGGGATATGGTGGCGTTGGCTACAAGCTAGACGATGCGCAACACAGCTCACAAAGATATAGAAGTCAGCTGCTCGTTGCTTAGCTCATCTCCTGATTCAAGCCGTATAGTTTACAACGCGTCTCCGTAGTTCCAGTAGATCAGATACATATCGCAGAGTCTAGCCATCGTTTTGCTTCCAAATTGACTGCCTCCTTGAGGTGGCTGAACCACAAAGCCTGACTTTCTCCATATGGTTGTATTTACCATCTACAGATCACGCTGACTGCCCCCCTACTCACAACTGCTACCGAATATGCCCGATACCTGCGCTCCCCGTCTACGGCTTTTCCGCCGTAAGCCTCCACCAATTTCCGCAATCTTCACCTACTCCCGTAGTATACAACTAAGAATCGATAGCGGCGCGAGGTAAAGCGCGTTGCAAAGCCTCATTCAAAGCTGCCATTTAGAAGGGTAGTGGGGAGTTTTTCGGGCCGGCGATGTGTAACGCATTTCGCAAAGGACAGTAAGCGGCGGGCAATTAGTGGCCTTCTTGTGGTTCGATTGCGCTTGCAAAACTCGGCTGCGAGGATACTTCTCTAAGAAGGACGAGGGTTTACGGGTAGTAATGGTAGAAGTCACAATGTTATAACAAGACGCGGTGAGAACGCGTATCGAATAATCTAACAAGCTCGCATACATAAGCGCATCTTCCATGTACGTAGGATAAGAATCCAAGATGTGATCACAAACCCGTCTGACCAATGATGCCTCAAACGCTCTGTGTAATGATAACGTCATCAATGTGGAATGTGTTTACGTGATAGGTTCCAGCAACAAACTGAAATTCAAACGTAGTGCTTGCACCGGTCGCCGTGAAGGTACTAGTTTCGGTAATCCAGCTGCCAAATCCAGCAAGGGCTTCAGTTTCCATGTGACGTTGAACGAGAATCTTGTCTCCGGCCATAGCGCGGAAGTATAAATTAGGCTCCACCCTCTCGGCGAAGTAGCGGAGACTGAGATCGTAGGTCTTGCCGGCGCAAGTCTTCATTTCCTGCTGCATCTGAACGAAAGCGAGTCCAAATGTACTGTGCACGGTGAGGGGCACCGCCAAATGGTTAGGTCCCACAGCGCCGCCCGGTAAGACTTGGACGGTGTTCTGCGCATCGTACCAAAGAGTGTTCGCGTGCCAACCGTTAAGGTCACCGGAGTCAAAGCCGCCGTTGATAAGCGGGGAAATTGGGCAGGGATTGGGAACAGTCATGAGCTTTGTTGCCGTGGCGGTTGTGGTTGTAGTCACCTCGCTGAATTCGGTAATAGTCTGTGATTGAACCTTGTTAGTAAATCTGTACGTCCAGTGGGTTAAAGGAGGAAATACCGCTATCTCGGCCGTAGCAGTGACAGATACAGTAGACGTAGCCGTAACGGATACCGTCTTCAAGGAAACTCCCGACTTGATGCAAGAGCAAGCAGCCGATAAGATGGTCGATGGGAAGAGTCTCGTCGCAGGAATATTAATCGTGGCTGGGTTGGTGAGCTGGGGTTGCCGCTTGAGCGGGCCTGGAGCCCATTTATCAACCTGAACGTCCCGTTTCGCTGGAGCAGTGACGGTTGCCGTCACTTCAACAGTTTCCACAATAGTCTCGGTTAATGTCTCAGTCGTCGTCACTAAAGGCGTGACTGTTGCCACGACGGTCACGCTGGACACTGTAGCGACGGTGGTGGTGACTGGTGGGACGCTGATAAAGCTGCTGCAGTAGTTGTAGGCCGCTGAGCGGACTGCTGGTGCGACGAGCGCATTTATCAGTCACAACTTGGCCGTTGGAGCAGACATTTGGAGGTGCTGCCTGGGGCGCTGCTCAAACGTTCTGAGTAACGAAGCCCGCCAGAGCGAGAGCGCGGAAGATCCGGAAGGAATACATGATGATCGGAAATCCCACAGAAAGAATGAGCGGGGATTCGGAAACCGCAGACTTGAGATGGATGATTCGAATTAGAGACCTGAACGAGCGGAGTGCGGTTTATGCGAGTGATGGTGGAACGTGCAAGAGGGAATCACAAATCTTATATGCCCCGATGACCGGTTACAATGGACAAGGGGAAACTGAACCCGTTCTGAATACATTTGGTCCAGACTCCTCGGCTTTAATCGTGCTGCCTTGAGGCGATCTTGTGGCGGGCTGAGTTCTGCGCATAGTGAGGAGGATTGTGGATAGTATGATGATATTCAGCCGCACTGACTACGGAGCGAGACCGTGTAGTGACTTATATTGCGGGAAGCATGGCCTAGTCCTTCACTCCAATAGTTAGCCAGTATCACTTAAGTGCTTTGGAGAAGCTGACAAGGATTCACATTGTCCTAGCCGTAGTGCTACTGGTGCCACCACGCATGTACCCTTGCTCGTGGACTACAAGTGCATGGGTTCCGGCCGACTTGGTGTTCCTGATTCCAGATCCGCGCACCTAGGTATTTTGGCGCTCGTGGTTAGCCTAAGCCAGCCATATCCGGATGTGGCCATTCTGGAACAGAGATCGCCGCCAAAAGAGGAAACGAGCGGCATCCGCCTCCTGAACTTCCCCAGTCCACTCGCCCGGCTCGAGGAGTCTAATGAGTCTAGATACCGCTTTAGCCAGCCGCAGGCCCATAACGTCGATCAGGGGTTTTGCACGACACTGGGTTTTGCACAATCTAACGTGATGGGGCTAGCGTCTTAACATATCAAGCAAAGCGCTTCGAACGCCTGGTCTGGGCAAGAACGTGACCAGCGCGGATAATTAGAGGGCCTAGATCGTGCAGAACTCAGTACCGTGTAAAACCCCCCGGACGACGTTATCTTGCAATACGGCGGCTAGGAGATGCACGAGCGGCTGAGCATGATATGCGAAGAGGCGTCCGAGTCGGTGGCTGCGGGTACGCTACGCGCCCTGCACTCCAGCTACAGTGCAGGTATCAACTGGGCCTAGGCTCTAGTAGCATGATATCCTTCGCCGTGTAGAGAGAATCGTGTGTTTAATAGCGGGATAAGTGCGAAGAGCCCAGCTGATCGGGTGCGCACATCAAGTAGCGGCGTGCATGACATGTATGCCACGGGATGGACGTCAGCGGAGGGTTTTTTCTTGATAGGCGTACGTTTAGGTGGTGTATCGGACACTCGTCGTCCTGTGTGGATAGCTTTGGATGGAAAAATGAACTAGAGACATTCGCGACGTGCAGGAGCGGGATACTTCTATGGCCATCTAAGCTCGCCCACGACTATCCGGCTATAGTCTAAAAATCGTCGCGGTTCGAGAGCAATACAAAGATAGTAATTCACGGTAATCCAGCTACAGGAGGCTAGGTATGTAGGCATGGCGGTTCAAGTTCCCCAATGGATCCTGGTAGACGGTTGTGGCATGAGCGTAGATTATACTGAATACTCCGGACTAGCTGCAGGGTCAGCGCAAAGGCTCAGTAAGACGGTGGTTCGGCGCTAGGTAGACACAAAGAGGGCCTGTCTTGCGCAACGCGGATCAAGCAAACACGCCGTATAGCAATGCGCTAGAAAACCAAATACATGAGGATTGAAAGCTGGAGAACTTTTACAATGATTCTGCGCCCTTCTCGATGGGCTTGCTTGTCAATTCTTGCGCTTCACAGTCCAGATGGTATCTGGTGTGCTTCTGGCCGCTCTGGTAGCTTGATCGATGGCAATCAACCGGTGGAAGCCGAGTCTTTGGGTGCCTAGCGGCTGCATGCTGATGTTTCGCGGAATTTTCAGTGTCCAGGTAGGCGCTCCAGGGCGCCAAGCACGGATCGTTTCTGATATTCGTGAGCAAGGCTTCGAAGTCAACACACACCACAGCGGAAGACCAACCACGACTACGCACATCGCAAACAGCAAGCCTAATCACCATAACCAGTCCTCCGCTACCCGATAAAGACAGATATGAAGACATACCGTGCGATGCGTTTCCTGAATCAATGGACCAGGGGTAGGAGCCATCACATTGCGCCTGCCAAAAGCTTGTCTGCTTCTGTCAACAATGTTCAAAACACAGGAAGCTCACAGAAGAAACCTAGTTATCGCCGCGGACAGTTCCAGCACCAGGTTCGGCACACTCAACAATCGTCAAGACGAGAACAAGCCCATCTCGAGTAGGTCGAGTCGAATACCGACCTACACCATCAGTTTTCGTTCCGGAACAGCTAATGTAACGATACGTTCAACAGCCGCAAAGCCTGAGGCAACGTGGTTTCGTCTACGTCCCGGGCCCGATGCCCTGGCTAGGTTGGTCGTCGTCCTGCATGAGATCAGGAGGAAGCATGAGCTCACTGTCGCGGTACAACCCAGACTAGGCCTGGCAGCAACGGATATGGTTATCCATGAATAAGTGCAGGCGGAACTGCGGCCCTTTTGAGGTACGGAGACATAGTTTATTGAGCCTGTGAGACCAGGTGCTCTTGCAAGACATTGGCGTAGAGATGATGCAAGAACGATGACACGATGATAAAATTGAAAGCGTGCACTTACTCTATGAGCCTTTATACAGTTGATGAATCGGCATCCTCAACTGTTGGTATCTGTTGTGCCTACCTGCTTCTGTGTGAGACCCAAAGTTGTCCGGCATAGTAAAAGCGGTCGGTAGATCCCTAGATCAGGCCGCTTTATATACCTCGATTCTCACTTTCAGACTGACGGAAACCCCGTTCTTACAACTTGCATGTGTAACGTCTTGACCTTCGGGGACCACTGGTACCACTGAAGTCCAGTCGCAGGATGTGAGTGTGCAAAAGAACCCACTCGAGATGGAGCAACAAGAGTAGGTGTCCGTTACACGAGTCTGCTGTACCCAGGCAGCCGGACATGATTGCGTTTGAGCGTATATTCTTCTTCCTCAAAAACCTCTCTCTATCAAAGTCCTCAAACTCCATGAACCGGAAAGTAATCCGGACAGGTATATGGCGGACTCGTATATCAACGACGAGTTCGGTCACGGAATGCCAGTGTTGTCGTACTGCTCACCGTGCACTATACCGCAGATCCCTTTGCGCATGGGCTCGCGCTGGCAAAGGGTGGTATGGCCAGTCGCGTGTCTTTCGAGTGTGCGCATGTGTCTCGTTTGCCAGCGATGAGGTGTTGCACACGGCGGACAAGCGCTTGAGTATCCAACCATCGGCAGTCACCGTACTTCGTTTTGCTGCGCGTCATCCAGGTCTTATCCGGAGCCTGTCGATGCAGCATGAGTCGCCATGGCCACGATGACAGTGCTAGCCCAAAATTTGTCCTAAATCCCGGAAGGAGATAGAAGTCGATGCTGTGGATGCAATGCCTACAAAGCCTGGATGCAGCGCTCGGCTTAGCCAAAGCGCAATATCCTGAGCGGCGCTGCTCAACTCCCAAGCTCAGCGCTGAGAATGATGGACACCCTACGAACCAGCCTATTCGCAGGGCGCACCATACCTGAGAGGTGCCTCGTATATGCAGAAGCTCGGCAGGAGTTGTGTACGCAGTGAGCCAGCAGGAACCGGCGTCCTGGACACACTGGCGAGGTTGATGACACGAGGAGTTAACAAAATACCATCATATGGCGTAAAGGTCCAGAAGTATACTGGTCCGGTCCGCATGGATCAGTCCATACCACCTACAAAGCTACTTGAAGCTAAGAAAGGACGGGGGTTTATGACCGATAGAGCTCCATTGGCAAGCCTCACCACAAGGCTCAACCTGGATCCCAGCCGTCTCAGGAACGGCGTACGGCGCAAGGGCTGAACAATATGAGGACTTGTGGTGTAACATCGCTTCTTCTGTGCTGGCCGCGTGTTGTAAGGTTTGAGCGTCTATCCATGGGGTAGCTCACGCTCTCCACGGGCGACGCTAAGGATCGGCTTCGCCGGAGAGTCTCAGTTTGGGTGTGTCGGTCTCCATGGAGCGGAGTATTGAGATAGACGGAGCTGTCGAAAGAACTCCTGCCGCAGCTGTCATATTGTTGCCATTGTTCTGTATCAATCCGACTCGATGAGTAACGAGGGTCCGAGCGAGTCTTGCGAGCTGACCGTCGAAGCTCCACCCGGGGACAATGGGTGAGGTTTAGTCGACCGCCAGACCATGGCGAACCGCCGCGGCTGATGTCAGGACAACGCACTCAGTTGCCATCAGTTCAGCTAACTCAAAGAACCCGGATCGGCGCGCCACGAGTCTGAAGCTGGATGGCAGTGTTGTACGTTGCTGGCCGCGTTTGCGTATGCAATCCTTTAGGCCGTATTGTGGGAGCTACAGGAACGTAAGAGTCGCCTTCACGCAGGAGCTGTATCAGAGCCTGGAACGCACTCATCGACGCTTCCGAAGGGAAGTTCGATCCAAGTATCCAGATGCGCAGCTCGCAAGGTACGATGGTATGCCTTGGTCTTCGAAAAGTGGGCTGTTCGAGCAGAATTACGAGAGGCACAAGCGCAAGTCACCTCAGGTTCTCCCGGCATCTCATCGAGACAACTCCTGTCGAAATCGAGAATTGCGCGGCTCACGAGGTACCGCCGCTGAAATTCGTGACAGTCGATAGACATGCTCGGAGTGTTAAAGGCCAGGCGGGACGCGTGTGGTTGACGTGAGGGAGTAAGCGCCAAGTACCGTGACTGCGGAGCGCGCACACAGCGCAGTGACGGCGGGACACGAAGCAAAAACGAGCGGAACCAGGCCGGTTGAAGGCTCGATTGAACACGCAAGCGGCATAAGATATCAACACTCCGAGTCGTGGCAGTAAATGATCGAGCATGAAATCGGACAGGGAGCGGCACCCTGCTAGGAGGCTCTGGGTTTCATCGAGTCGCATCAGAGGCTGACGACGAAGCGACAGCTAGCTTCATACACCTCATCTTGGCCGTCCGTGTAGGCAAGACGAGAGAGACGAGTAGAGCTGATACCGGGCAATACTGTCTGGGTGTGATGAAGTCGTTGAGTGGGCGGAGATAGCCGCTGGCCTTGACGTTCAAGCTCCGCGTCGACCAACCCCAGCCGGCCGGGGTCCGCGGCAGAGAAACACGATACAGTGCTCTAACTACCTACCTCGTTACGCCTCAGCATCCCCCATCCACCCCCGGTTTCGCCCTCCGCCTTGCAGCTCCAGCACTCTTGGAGCTCTGACAACCAGTCTGTCATATACCAGCCCGCCTCGCGCCCTCCCTCCCCGTCCGTTATATATTCTCCGCCGTTGCGGGACGCGAGAGCAAGCCGATACCTTCAACTCAACCCTATCCGATTGCTGCGCTGAGCGCATCGAGCTCGCACTCCGCCACGGCAAGCTGTCACGGCTCGTTTTGGTTGCATAGCTGAAGGAGGAGAAGAACCGGTTGGCGTGTGGGGTCTGGCAGACGACATCTTCCTCCCGAGTGCCTATCAGGCAGCGCTGCGGATAGAATCGACAACTGGTACCAGGTGTGTCTTCACTTCACTTCCATGCATGAGCCCTGATCTAATCGCTCCCCCCTATAGGCACGCCATCTTATCAACACCATCTCGGTCTTACACTCCCTTATTTCTTCCAACCCTTTCTTTCGATCTACATCTACAGTCTTCACACTCGGACAACAACAACCATGGCTGCAGCACCAGCAACCCAGTCGCTAAAGGTAAAGATCGAGCATCTCTTCAAGTCTAAGAAGCAGCAAGAACAAGAGAAGCATGATTCCGCCCAACTCACTCCGGCTGAAATCGCCCTGTTGTACCCACCCCAAATCCCCGTCGGCGTCTACCTGCCTATGAACAAGATTGTCAACCATGTCACCGGCGACCCACGCATTGATCAATACTTTAATGGCGAGCAGATCAAGGTAGATCTAAAGCTGACCCTTATATACAAACTATATACGAGGTCAGCATTCATAGGACGGCAATACTGATCACTCATCTCACAGTGCGTTGTCACAGGTGACGGTGCCGTTGGCAAGGTACACTCCCACCGGCCACGAGACCTGTATTCTGAAGATCTAACCTCGCTGTAGACCTGCCTGCTCATCTCCTACACCACCAATGCGTTCCCTGGTGAATACATACCTACAGTGTACGTCAGTACGATCTTCTCAGAGAGGTGCACATTCTGAAGTCTCTATACAGATTCGACAACTACTCCGCCAACGTCATGGTCGATGGCAAGCCTGTCAGCTTAGGATTGTGGGACACTGCTGGCCAGGAGGACTACGACCGCCTTCGTCCGCTTTCGTATCCCCAGACCGATGTCTTCCTCATCTGCTTCTCGATCGTGAGCCCTCCGTCTTTCGACAACGTCAAGGCCAAGGTTAGTCCATCCCAACCGCTATAGTAAGCAACGAGGAGTCCGAGCTGACTGCGCTTTCTCCGCTGCAAAAGTGGTACCCTGAGATCGAACATCACGCACCCGGCGTCCCTATCATCCTTGTCGGCACCAAGCTCGATCTTCGCGATGACGAGGCGACCCGCGAGAGCCTTCGCCAGAAGAAGATGGCGCCAATCCAGTACGAGCAAGCCGTGCAGGTCGCCAAGGAGATCAAGGCCCAGAAGTATCTCGAGTGCTCGGCTCTCACGCAGCGCAACTTGAAGAGCGTCTTTGACGAGGCTATCCGTGCCGTTCTTAGCCCTCGTCCTCCGCCAAAGGCGAAGAAGAATAAGTGCGCCATCCTCTGAAGGGCGCGTCAGTCGACTCTACGCTGGTGCAGCTTGGTGTCATCGATTGCTACCAGTCACAACGGCTTTGGCAAGTCTCATGGTGTTGGTTGGAATCGGGTGGTGGCGTTGAATGGGATGGATGCATGCATATGCACAGTGATTGGGGCTTTCACGGTGGCCTTTCCCTCATCTAGCAAGCTGCGAGATATCTTTCGATCACAGCTTGCTGGCACGAGACTTTACACGATTGCGCCGTGGTCACTACTTGCGGAGTTGGGTTTTCATTTTCCTCTGACTACTCTGGCTGGGCTCGGCATAATCCCTTTCCGTTGGTCGATGTAGATACTCATGGAGCAATCAATCTGCGACATCTGCGGTGTGATTAGAAACTGGCACATCCCTTTGAAACCCCTGCTCCGCCTGGTTGATCTGTCTAGTGCATTGAAGCAACCGAGATACCCAACAGCCATGGCCTTCCGCTGCACGCAAGTTCTACACAGTAAAAAAATCCCCGCTAGTACTATGGATCAAGATTTTTGTTGCGGAACATTACCTAGGTACATAGCGTGCTAATCGGCTGCTCGGGAGATCCGACTTAGAAGAGGTCTAAGCGCTCCAAGCGGCTTGCCGGTGACCATCGAGCGCGCTCGGCGTCGATTATTATTAAGAATTTCGCTCAAGGCTCTGTTTTATGCCACTTTTGAAACGCTTAGTATGACTAAGAGGCCTTGTTTTTTGAGTATTTTCCCTGGGTACAGTCAGATAGCCCGCGCTTAGCTACCTTTCAATCAATTAGCTGAAGAGCATTAACTAGGTGGATTTAGCCGAATGACGAGTCGAGAAAATTTCAATGTGTGCATGACTCACATCCATAAAGTAGAAGCTTAGGACATCGTGACTCACGTCTACAAAGTAGGAGCTTGAGGCAAGAGGGAACATCGGTGGATTTGCCGGCCTAAGGATCCCGATGCTAGTGTGTCTTCTGAACCTGTTGCGCTGGCCCATTTTACTAGTTTCGGGGTGTTAGATGGTGATGTTTTTTTTGCCGGAGTATAGGGGCATTAAGGTAGAAAATGTGGCGGTTTGGGCTGACAACATCGGTCCGGGGATCGTGTTGAGGTTGGGGTTATGGACATTCAGGGGGAAGTTGAATATCCAGATTTCGTGGAATGTTGCATTCTATGGAGATGGTCAGATCTAGGAGGTGGTGGATACAATCGACAGGATGTTGGCGGTGGAGCTTGGGGTTGAGAAGGGGATCGAGGAGGCTAGTGGGGCAGATGATTAATCTTGAGTTGAATTTGGCGGGAGTAAAACAGGACTTGATGAATAGTGCAGTGGTTGTCTTGAGTCTAACGTGGAAGAGCATATCTGGCTGCATCGAACAGTCGAATAGATTGATCGTCCCAGAAACTCTTGCCGCCTCCATCCTAATATCTCGCCCCGTATATGACCTTGTTTCCGTTGCTCTCGCACTCACAGAACATAAGGCTTCAAGTCACTCTTTACTGTTAGGCCAGCAATTCAATATAAGGAAGATCGAGAAAGTTGTGTTCACTATAAACATACTATTAAACGCCGAACAGAACGAGTAAAAGGATCAAGAGATCAACCTTCATCACCACCCTGCACTGGCAGCTTCATCCCGACCGCCAACGATGACCGAAGCGAGAGAATGGAGAAGTCAACCTCCATCGCCGCCTTGCCTTCTTTGGTAGCGCTGAAGAGGCAACAGAAGCCATTAGCAGCTTCAATCCAGAGAAGCACAAGCGCACGCGCCAACGCTCAATTGCCCTCGCAGGATTCGATACTTCAAGGATGACCACTAGGTTGACCTACATACGGTTGTGTGCACTCATGCGGCTTGACAAGTTGAGGTCCTCTTAAGCTCTTCACTCTCCATCATGTGTTCTCCACCTTTTCCCAAGGGTGGTGCTCTTCATCTCAAGCCACCGATTCTCAATCCTTCTCCTCTCTGCAAACTTTAGTGCTTTGACCAATATACAACTTCTCCCCGAATTCGAGCCGGCGGCGTCGAAGGTTGCTGTTTGCGCTCGGCATCGTTCCGCGTCGCACCGGCAGTTGAAAGTAGAGTTGCCGCGCATCTGGACCAACTCGGACTATCTTACCCGAGCTATGCTCTTCGTGGCTCACCAGACAGTTCTTGGGGCGTCGACAGCGAAGCTTTTTGTTGGTAGAGATGTGCGGAAGCCTCCACACTATCCGGGGGAGTGGGAGCCCTACGCTGTTGCGGGGCCCCAGATTAACCCATCGTTCAATCTAGACACTGAATGCAAGATTATTCATGGATGACATGCAGATACTAGCACGCGGGGTTTGACAGCTTCGCGACAACAGGGAGACGTCCATGTGCCGGAGCGGTTTGCAGATCTCGGCGCCGCTTGATAGTTAAGTCCTGTGTTTCTCGGACTCTGCGCTGTTCCTCGTATATGCTTTGGTTTCCCTAAAGGTGGTGGATCGGTTCTCAAACTGGCCCTTGATCTGGCCACCGGTCTTTCTCTCCTGGCAGATTGCCATTGCATCTGTATTACAGCATCAAAGGCATTGAGGTCAAAGTGCTTAGCAAAAGTACATCTCTGCCTCTCACACCTCTGGGTCCATTATTGATGCACACAAGATCGGTCTGCAGGAAGAATTGTCCTCTCAATCCTTCGATATCCCCATAAACCCTAGGCTCAGGTCGCATACTACAGCCGCCCACTATGGAGATGAACTATGATGATCAGGTTCGCTTCTCACGCGCACACGCTTGCCTTACATCACTAACTCGCAGCCCAGGAGCTCCATCGAATCGAAGAACAGCTCCACACTGAGATCTTGCCCGGAACTGAGATTATGACCGATGTTGGAACTCACCACTTCGTCAAAGGTTCCGGTTCCCACCAAGTCCTCGTGCCACAGCCTAGCGCGGACCCGAACGACCCTCTCAATTGGTCAAGCTACCACAAAGCTGCTGCAATTACGGCTGCGAGCTTCGTCACGTTCTCGCAGGGGTTCGGCCCATTGGCGCTAGCGCCGATGTTCGGGTATTATATGGAGGAGTTCAACTGCACGCTCGAGGAGGCTATTCAGTTCACCGGCGTTTGTATCCTGGTGCTTGGGTTTAGCAACTTCTTCTGGTACGCTCGCAGTCCCTATATTCCATAAACAGGTTCGATTTCAACATGAGACGGTGCTGATAGAGATCGTTTTGCAGGGTCCCAATCTCTACCTCATACGGTCGCAGGGTTGTGTACATATTTTCTCAGATCGTTTGCCTAGCTAGCTGCATCTGGCGAGCACGGGCAACCAGCTACGGTAGCTTCATGGGGGCCTCCGCTCTAAATGGCTTCGGCGCAGGGCCCGCGGAGACCATCCAACCCTCCGTCATCGCCGATATCTACTTCCTGCATGACCGCGGCAAGTGGAATACGCTGTACTGGGTGTGCTACATGGGCTCTCTCATGGTAGGCCTGCCATGTTTTCTTGTCGCTCCCTGAGATGCTCGTGTATCTAGATCCGAATAACTAACAGCTTTACAGTTAGGTCCTATTGTCGCCGGCCCCATGGCCGACCATATAGGCTGGCGTAACTTCTGGTGGCTCAACGTGGCCATGCTTGGTGTTTCTCTGGCCATGGTCGTGTTCATGTTCCCAGAGACAAGGTGGCACAGACTGCACCCAAATGAGATCGCACACTCCTCCCCCAACTCCTCGGCCAACGAATTGAAAGCCTTCACCGAGAAGATCGAGACCGGTGCTGATATCCAGCAAGTTCCATCCGCAGCCTCGATCGCTATTCCCGACCTTGAAGCCACAGAAACAGCAGCTCGCGACCCCCACCTTGGCAAAGGCAAGCCCTCCGAGACCCAATGGGCGCTCTTCCAAAAGAACGCGCATCCCCTTAGAACCATCATCCTAGATCTCTGGATCCCATGGAAGCTCTTCGCCTTTCCGATTGTCGAGTTCGCCAGCTTCGTCACATCATGGAGCTGCTCCTCATTCCTCACAATCAACCTTACGCAGGCGCAAGCTTTTGCGGCACCGCCTTACAACCTCAGCTCCCAGACTATAGGATTTATGAACTTCGCTATACTCATCGGTGCCTTGATCGGCCTGCTCACCGCTGGCCCGTTATCAGATTGGGTGTCAGCGTACTACACCAGCCGCAACAACGGCATCCGGGAACCGGAGATGCGGCTGCCAGCGATGATTCCTTACGTATTTATCATGCTGATTGGCAACATCGTGGTCTCCGTTGGCTGGGACAAGCACTGGTCCTGGGAGCCTATCGTTATCATCGGTTTCGCCTGCGCCGGAATACAAGTTGCCGCGCTGCCGAGTATCGTGAGCACCTATGCTGTGGATTCCTACAAGCCGGTTGCGGGGAGCTTATTTGTGAGCATCACTGTCAACAAGAACTTATGGGGGTGGGGCTATTCAAAGTTTTTGAATGGATGGGCGGCTCGAAGCGGGTAAGTGTCCTCAAGCCTGCATTCATTTTGGAAGGCGTTTTAATGAAAACAATAGATTCGTGGCCCCGATTATGACGAACGCGGGCCTTATTACACTGTGGTGCTTGTTTGGAATACTATTCTATTACAAAGGGAAGACCTTCAGGAGGTGGAGTAGGAATAGTAGTGTACATTTCATGTAGAGTAGAATGCATCGGATTTTAGTTTCTTTTCTTAGGTACATCAGGAAAAATTCGGGCGCTCGTGAAATTCCAGGACTTCCAAGGCGCTCGGAGCGCGCTCAGAGCGCTTGCAAGCACTCGCGAGCGCTCTAGACGTTCAAGATATCCAAAATATCTAAAATATATAGTACGCCTAGAACAGTTAGCGTCGCTTAGTAAGTAGAATCTTTCTAGAGTTTCTAGTCTTACTTAAATTTTACTCTCTAGTAAAAAGAGCTAAAATATTAGTTAATCTAAAAAGTAAGTAAGTAATAATTATTTTTATTAAAAGTTTACTCTCTAAACTAGCTTTATTATATACTCTCTATATTCTACTAATTAACTTAGACTTAAAGCTTTTTCTAAAAAAATAACTTAGCTACTAACTAAGTATATAAAGCTCTACTAAACTCTACTAAGCTAATACTTTTAGATAGTTTAGATATTCTAGATATTTTAGATTTATTAGATTTTCTAAATAACTTAGATACTCTAAATACTTTAGATACTTAGAGTGCTTAAAGCCTATTTATAAGCTATATATAAGTAGATATAATTACTAGAGACTCTAAGTACTTAGAGTAAACTCTAAGTAGTCTATATTAGGAAAAAATTAGGTACTTATAAAATTAGCTATAGTCTAAGACATCTAAGGCGCTCTAAGCGCGCTTAGAGTGTACTAATATATAGTCCACCTAAAATAGTTTAGTATTATCGTAGGTAAGAAGTTTAAGTATAAAGTTCAGGTAAGTAGATCGTACGTGTCTAGAGAGGTGAGGTATCGAGGTAGAACTATTAAAGTAGTAATAGGACTACGGTAATAGATTATATAAGACTAGATAGTATACAGAACGAGTGTAGTACTACTTAATATTATAATATAACTAATAATTAACTATCTTAGTTTCTTAAAGAACCATAAATCTCTATACACGCACCCTATACTAGCTCCTATATAATAAACCTTCTATACTACTATATATCTCCCTTACCTAGTAGCTATCCTATAGCTGCTCTAATCCTCTAAATAGGAGTATAGATAAATACTAAAATTACTAAAGAATAAAGTATTAAATCCTATTATAGAAGCTTAATACTAGTAAGTCCTCTTACTAATATCGCTATAGCTTACTATATACCTATTCTAATATATTTACTTCTTCTATTACTTTATAGATAGCTTCTTAATTTACTCTTTTAAGCTTCTATTTAGTAGTAGTATTCTTTTTCTTCTCTAAATCTATTAGAGAAAGTAGATTCTATCTCTTAGGCTCTTTAATTATACTAGTAGCACTATTCTTAAGCTAGTTAATATTAATAGAAGCACCGTTCTTAGGCTAGTTAATACCTTTAGAACTACTCTTAATAGGCCTCTTAATACCTCTAGAAATACCCTCTATAGATCTACCTATCTTATTAGAAACGCCTTCTATAGATCTACTAATCTTACTAAAAACGCTCTCTATAGAATTCTTAGTAGAGCCGAAAGCACCTTCCTAACTTCTACTTAATCCTAAATATAAAGACTATAAGTTACTTCTAAAGCTAGAATTCTTAGCTATTTCTTAATAACTAATTATAATAGAAGCGTTTAGATTAAAACCTAGTATAATATTATAAAGAAGCTAATCTATTAACTATATAGGGAGTCTATAACCGCTAGTTATACTATAGAAACTATAGAGTAAATTAATTTAAGTTATTTAAAAACGCTTAGCTTATTCTATATTAATAGAAAAACTAGGCTTTTAATACTAGTAGCTAGTTTGTTCTTATTAACTTCTTCTTAATTAGATTCTTTTACCTTAGGAACTCTAGCCTTAAACTACTTATTACTAGAAGATTTCTTAGCTAAAAACACTCTATAAGCCTTTAGAATTTCTACTAAAAGAAGATAAGCTATACTTTTAGTAACTAGTAAGTTATAGTTAGAAGCATTAGACTCTTCTATAAATAGTTTATATTAAACTACTATATTTATAACTTTCTAGGAATTATAATAAACTATATAGCTATTCTTAAACTAGTACTTATTCTCTTCTAATTATAGGTACCTCTAACTTATAAATAGATTGTCTTCTATTATTTTAATAAAAAATAAATCTCTAAAATAGTACTTCTCTACTTAGTAAAGTATAGTATAGGCTATTCTAAACTAATTAAAGGCCTTCTAGTACTATATATAAAGGTATTCTTTTTAAGAAGTAGAAGTACTAAAGAGTTTTATAAGATTAATAATAACTACTATATCTTACTAGAAGACTCTTTCTAATAGCATATCTAAAATAGGGTCTAGATTATATAATATTACTTCTAGAACTAAGATAGTAAACTAAGGCTTAAAGATATTATTATTACTAAAGAATATAGATACTACTAATTACCTCTAAATATAAGCGACCCTAATATTATCTATCTCTCTTAGCTTCTATTAAAAATAGTCTCTATTATATTCCACACTTAGGTATTTAGAGTAGAGGTTGTTAAGACTTAAATCTTAATGTCTATTAATTAAGGGCTTTAGAATAAAGAGGCAAGTAATAAATATATAGTACTTATTACCACGCTTAGTAATCTCTAGATAGAATATCTATAGATTCTACTATATAAGTTACTAGAGTAGAGAGAATATTATATTTAGTAAGTATAGCTTCCTCTAGAAATTATTAGAATATAAATACTTTTACTAATACTACTAGTAGTATTAGAGAATCTAATTCTACTCTATGCGAATAGCTTAATACTAAGAATTAATAATACTCTTAAGACTCTTTCCTCTATATTCTACCTTAAGACCCTCTATTATCTATTTATTAAGAAGTATTAGAAGCCTTTCTATAGTTTCTTTTAATATAAACTCTAGATATATAGGAAATACCTATAATCTCTAGACTCTCCTAGTATATATATCTTAAAAATCTATAGTCCTTTTATTAAGGAATATACTAAACTAATATATTAAATCTATAACTAACCGTAAGTTTTAGAGGCTAATATAGGTAATATACTCTAAATAAGTATAGAGAGTTTTAGTTAGTATATTATTTTATAGTTCTAAAAGCCTACTAAGTTCCTAAATATAGAAGGCGTAAAGCCTCTTCTTAAAGGGCTTAAAACTAATTACTTTCTAAAGCTATATCTTAATTATTTAATTAGCTAGATTACCATTTAATTTCTTAAGTTTGGATTTATCTACTATTAAGTTAACAAGTTCTACTAGAATACGCTCTAAGTACTAGTAATCTAAGTCTGTAACCTTCTCTATAATAGCTAGTCTATATTCTAGGAGTTTCTCCTCTTACTTTACATCTAGCTAACTCATCTTCTTTATAGCCTTACTTTTCTTTTTACTTTTTTATATTAAGCTACTTCTAGCGCTCTTATAATCTGGATCTATAGCCTTCTTACCACCTTATAGCTAATTCTAGAATCTTATTATACACTTTAGTAGTAATAAACTAAGTAACTTATCCTTTTAATACTTCTTACTATTCTTCTTTAAACTAGTTTATATACTAGCTATAGTAACTAGTAAAAGAAACACTAGACTACCTAGAGCTTTAATAATACCTTATGTATTATATTCTATTATCTACTTATTACTCTAAGTCTTAATATTTATCTTTTTAGCCGTAGTTATACTAGTCTAGTATCTTATTTAGCTTAGCTTCTCGCGTATAAACTATTATATAGCTACTTTCTTAGAATTTAGGTTAAGAAATTAATATAGAATATAGTTATTAATAGAATTAATTATATCTTATTTAAAGACTCTATTTGTAATCTATCTCTTAGTTATTTATAGGTATTAATAGCTATAATTATATTTCTAAAAGTAGTACTTTAGTTCTAGCCTTTTTATACTTTCTAAATATTAGTCTATACGCTCTTAGATATCTCTTAGGTAATTAATCATTAAGGTCTACTTCTTCTTAAAGGCGGCTATCGCTCCCTTCCGCTTCTTTTTCTATAAATATTCTACTAAAACCGGTATTACTAAGTATAGCTTATCTTTTAAAGTATTAAGCACCTTAGACTCTAACTAAATAAAAGTATTAATCTTCTAAGCTACTATATACTACTTAGTTAGAGGTAATAATAGGAACTTACTAATAAATATATTCTTTTAATTTATAACACTTATAAGGTAGCTTATATTCTAGAGACGCTAGGAACTTAGGTCCTTAAAGGGTAGATTATTCTTCTATAACTTAATATTTATATTCTAAAGAGCTTAGTTAAGTACTAGATTTTAATATAAAACTAGAGCGAGACTCTTAGAATATTTAAAGTATCTTATCTCTATAGGTATTTATAATTATCTAATACTAAATAGCTATACCACTCGCTCTCTAGGGATACTTATTATTCTATTTAGTATAGGTAAAAGCGTCTCTTTAGTATAGAAGATAGAAATTAATCGCGATAGTAACTTAAATTTTAGGGTAGAAATAGAGGTAGAAGATATATATCTATATTATATAGTAGGAGAGGGAGTAGAGAATCTAGTAACTATTTAAGAAATATCTTTATTAGGTAGTAATAACTATTTCTTTTTAGGTATAACTAGAATTAGCGGAGCTATTAAGCTATAATATAGGAATATAGGCTTATTTAGTCTATTACTTTTAAATATCTTTATACGTAAAAAGGAATATATAGATATATATATAAAGCTAATTTAAAGAAGAAATAAACGCGCTTAATTCTTCTAAAGACTTAAAAGAATAATAGAAAGAATTTTAAACGCGTTATTATAGTATTATATTTCGCGTCTATTATCTTATTACTATACAAATAACCTTATCTACATAATACCCCTTAATCTAGATTAAGTCTAAATAGGACTAGTATTACTCCTAAATACTTAAAACTAACAAACTTTATAAAGTAGATAAATAAAATAGAAATTAAAAGAAATAATACGGAAGCTTCTAGCGTGCTATTTAAAGTGTAT